GTGACTGACATGTCATGTTTTTACAATCTTGCCTCACTTGCTTTACACATTGCAAAACCCTCTGAAAACAAAGAGCTCCAGTCATGCTAAAGTTTGGATAGTCACCTTCCCAAGCGTTGCCAGGGGTTCCTACCACGCCTCATCACAGCAACAGTTGCTGTGTTTAGGTGTACCTGTATATTTTGCCAGTGAGTTAACGTGTATGAGCAAATTGAATGGTATTTTTGTTCGGATGCAGTATGTCGTTATGAATTCTTCTCTGCTGCAGGAAAAGTATAGACACACTGATCCCTGGGTAAATGTGGGTGAGCTTAGCGAGGACAGGCAATTCTTGTTTGAGTCGATGTGTGTTATTTTGACCCTTCATACTGACATATAGGCCTAGTATTTCCAAAACACGCACACATACACACAATTCCATTTATAAATTACAATCCAGAATAACAGGTTAATAGCTGCTGTGTGCTTCAGTAAACCACCTGCAGTTAAGTGATGGCGAATGATTTTTCCTCTCCAGAAAAGCAATTTATATAATCTGTTTGGCTGTGGTGTTTCTACCAAGACCAGAGCAAGACACAGTCACCAATTATCTGTCAGGTGTAGATCTAGGGAACGAGATCTAGCTGTGCGTCTATGTTTGTGTATGTATGTGTGTGTGTGTGTGTGTGTGTGCTTTGTTGTGGACAGGGCCTGTGGACTCCTGGCTCAGAGATGAAAGACATTTCTCATGCGGCTGGTTTAGTGGTGCTCCTGAGTCAGCACACAGCTACTAATCAGTATTTTCTTCCTCTCAGCTAGCCACTACTCTCCCCTACTCTCTGGCCTACCACCGTGTTAGCTCTGTGTAGCTTTGTAGTTAGTTAAGAGTTAAACCAGAAGGGAATCAAATACATGTATTTTATCCTTAAGCCATGTAGTTCAAACTATCAGTGACCAGTCGTGCCTTGTCAGATTAGAGGTTAACCTATTTTGGTTTTTGAATGGATGCAGAGCGTCTGATGGCGAGTATACAATGCAGATATCAAAACAAAGAAAAGTCTTGTATAATTCCATTATTCCATGCAGAGTACAATCTAATATACATGGTTATATTAGCTTGTAAGTTGTTGTTGTTGTTTGAGATGCAATTTTTATTAATTAATGAAATAGGAAAATACATGGGGTTTTGCTGTAGACTTCAGAACGTGACTGCTGTTTAAGTGGGGTGTAGTTTGTCAGAAGTGAAATCATTTAACTGCGTTATTCTCTACGCTATAATAATATATACACCGATCAGCCGTAACATTGTCCCACTGACGGGTGAAGTGATAAACACTGATTATGTTGTTATCATGGCACCTATTATTGAGTGGGATATATTAGGCAGCAAGTGAACATTTTGTCCTCAAAGTTGACGTGTTAGAAGCAGGAAAAACACAACAACGAGTTCAAGGTGTTGACTTGGCCTCCAAATTCTCCAGATCTCAATCCAAGTGTACGTCTGTGGGATGTGCTGGACAAACAAGTCCGATCCGTGGAGGGCCCACCTCGCAATTTACAGGACTTAAAGGATCTGCTGCTAACGTCATGGTGCCAGATACTACAGTACACATTCAGAGGTCTATCGGAGTCCATGCCTCAATGGGTCTACACAATATTAGGCAGGTGGTCATAATGTTATGGCTGATCGGTGTATTAAACGTTTGCTGGTAATGGTGTTAGATTGGCTGTCTGTATGACTGAGGACATTTAGGGCTTGAAACTAACTTTTTCACCACCTTCCCAAAACTCACAAGGGGGAGCGCTAACATTGTTCCACAGCAGCCACACTGACAAGGCCTCCTCCAGATGTGTCAGGTATCTAAATGCAGATTATCTCAATATGCCAGATATTGGCTGGCCAATTAAGTCAGATAAAGAAAATAGGGTGATTAAGCAAGGCAATTAAGGTTACTGAGCGATGGCCTAGTTGTCTTTCCAACAGCACTGGCCTTTGTTGTCTAAACACTTCTGAATCGGGGTGATAGCTGAAAGGGAAGCACCAGCAGTGTCCAAAGATGTGTCTCTAAAATGTAGATTATCAGTTAACATGACTGAGCGCTCCCAAAAATCTGTCCAGTGCAACCTAACATTTCTCTATTTGTGTGTGTGTTTGTTTTCCCTCGTGGAAGAAGTTCGGAGCCAATCAAAAGAATTATACCCCTGTGGTGACTCAATGCACCCTTTGTGTTGATGGGAAGGAACAAATGCAGCAAGACTGCATAGTTTGTGTGCACAGTGCTGATTCAATGGAGTGCTCCTTTTGAGAAAATAGTATTAACTGATGGCTGTTCTCAATGAAAGATGTTAATATAGGCTACCTGAAGGGTACAGATATTTTATTGCGGTTAGCTTAGCATGGCTTTGTCATAATATTTAAGACATTTGGCTATTAAGGATAAATTAAGAATACTTGTGGCAATGCTTATGACAAAAAAAAAAAAAAAAAAAAAACCAAAAAAGCTATTGACCTAGTATTTTGGGGCAATGCATAAAATTAAGTTAAATTAATCCTTGTTTCCTAAGCCAAAGAGTAACTGTGTTAAATAGCTGTGATCTCAATATTGACCAAAATAATCGTCATTATGATTTTTGCCATTATCAAGCAGTCCTAGCTTAAACAGTGAAAAACAGTCGTATTTAATAGATGTAATCTCTTGCACAATCATTTGCTGCTCCAGCAAAATAATGTGGCTTTGATACATGAATTGATATGAATTCAAAGGGATATTATCTTTACCCTGGCAAACTTGCCATGTCAAGTTGGAGATGCTGGTAAAAGTAGAGAGCTGTGGCAGAGATACAGTTGTAACGAATCAAATGAGCCGTGGAAATTACCACCAGCGTGGAGCCAAATTGTGGTAAATGTGACTAGTTGCTTATGAGTTTGTCTGCCAGCCAGTTTGGCAGTTAACCTACGGGCAGCATGTCCTAAATCTAAGACCTTATATGCCAAGTTGACACATGTCCTTGTGGAGGACAAGCTCTCTAAGATTTCTTTGACAGAACCAAACTTTTTAGTGCCACATGCACAGAGATCACATCTTGATAGACTGAGATGGATTTTGTGGTTGAGATTGTGCAGTGAATTAAATTTAGAATGAAATTCTTTCCAGGTCACCGTGTATCATTCTCCCCTTTCCTAGACTTTGTGTTTTTGTTGGAAGTTGTGCTGTTAGAAGAAGGGGAAGCAAGAGTGCACAAGAGCTCTTTGAGAGGAAGGCCAAATTGAATTTGAATTGAATTTTCTGAAGGAAAAGTAATGACAGGACTTTTGTCATGACAGCCTTACTTTAGTGTAATGACTGAGCTGTTTGTTTATTGATGTGTTTACATGGTCTGTAGTAATGCATGCCGGGACATGGCACACTGCATTGGCCCCTGCTTTCCCTCTGCCCTGCGGTCATAGCAGGCCAGGCCAGCTGTCAGTGGAGTCGGGAGGGAGTGTGAGAGCGAGGGGTTGTTGATCTATGAGTGACCCGTTTGTTTTATTTCAGCAGGCATTTCTCTGTTTCACAGTTGGCGAATGTGCTTCTCCTCAACACTGGAGGTTCTGTAAAGTCATAGCAACCTGATGAGTTTAGCATGATGTTTTGCCACAGAGGGATTGCAGACAGACCCAGAGTGTCAACTTGGCTGGTGGTCACCTCCCACACACTCACAGACTCACACAGACACAAACAGAACAAAAAAGGGTGTTTGTATAGTAGATGGAGGTTTTTGTCTTTTGTTAACCAAAAGAGCTACTGTGTGTAAAAGTCAAACATTGAAGTGTATTGGTATGTGAATGCTTGCCTGTCTTTATGCTAATAATGTTAAACTGTGCTAATATCTCTGTTAAAAAGCACTTAAGTGCTGCTTAAATATCTAAGGCAGCATACTTTTCAAAATAAAAGTTGTATGTACTTGTCTGTTATCAGAAAATCAGTGTATCACCGTGACCAGTGTGCTGACCTTTAGTGAACTTGCAGCCAATTCAGGTTATCCTTGGCATGCTGGGTTCATGTAAACCAGGAAGTGGTTGAATAGTTCCCCACAAATGAGGGAAATGCTGACTTTGTCAGCGTTAGATGAAATCTGTCTGGCTTTGTGAGAGAACGTTGGCAACCATTGCAGATCCCTCCCAAGTCCTTTTTCCACCAGGAACTGTAGCTGCAGGCGTAACAATAGCTAGCTTTATCATTCACCCTCTCTGTGTCCGGTGTCATATGCTATAGAGAGGTCCAGGTGGTCACTAACACTTAGATAAAGTACATTTAGAATAGCATGGTAACCTTTCATGAGTTATGGAAATATTCTGGGCCATAGTGGGTAACCACAGGACCTGCACAAGCATGTTTCCATAAGCCTTGGTCACAGGAAAAGGGTACATTTTCCCGTTTTGGGTTCCTGACACAGAAAATGTCTGAACCCTTCCATCTGATCACAGCCAGTGATGATATAAGTCTAATTGGTCAATACGAACTAACTTAAACTCGATGCTATATTCGGTACAACTTGTCCAACTGATGATTATCAAACTAACCTCAGGCTGGTGTCTGATCTGCGGTGTAACGGTGTGCTTTGTAATCACACATCAACACCTGATTGTGACGATTTGTCTGTTTTTTCCCAACTGAAGGTTTTATTTTTTCCTGACATTGTGACATACTTCTCTGATTAACTGCTAAGCTAAGTGAGATGACAGTTTAATAGCAATTTAAACTATATATATATGTGTGTGTGTGTGTGTGTGTGTGTAACATCACTGATTGTTTTCCTCAAATCTAATTAAGCCTAAGTGTATTAATATTTTGTGAATTTACTGGGGGCTATCTTTATTTCAGGCAAGGTGGGGCGCCTCCTCTGGCTGTTGGAAAACCTCCTAGTCAAAATCTGAAGATATAGTTAAAAATAATATGTCATCTTTGCTTAAAGTTCTTTTAAACATCACTGTGGGCTGATTTTAATTGGCTTGCCGTCTGTTTTCCTTCTCTCTACAGCTAAACCCTTCACTTCCAAAGTGAAGCAGATGCGCCTGCACAAGGAAGACTTTGAGATCCTTAAGGTTATTGGACGAGGAGCCTTTGGAGAGGTAATATGCCTTCTGGTTTTTACACTCAGCTAAACCATGCAGCAGTCCATTATCATACAAGTTAAGAACCTTCAATTTAATTTCCCCCCTTTTTTCTGTGCAAGTAACAGGTGTTGTAGGTTAGTATAGAGCAGATCTGCAGTGTGTGTGTGTGGTGGTTTTTTTGTCTGTTTTTACAGGACACATCTCAAAATCTGGCTCTGTAAATAGGAAATGAACAGAGTGGCTTGGACCGAGCCACATAACACTATTCTAGCCTTTCCAGCCTTGATTTATGTATTAGATTATGTGGGACCGTCTCCTCCTCTGCATGTTGGCTTCGCAGCAGCAACTGTAGTGGCAGTTTGTTAACACACTACCTAGCTAACGTTACTTGCTATGTCATTGTTTACTCTATATGATGGTATTTGTCATGGTATTAGAGTTCTACAGAATAAACCACACCTTTTTAATACCTGAGTAATAAAGGGCAAGCGTGTTGTTGTTTTTGATGGTAGATTACTTTCTGCTGCATTCCAGCAGCAGTGCGTGGTATTGGTCTCCTGCATGAGCATGACTCTACTTGCAGCTTGAACAAAACTTTCAAATGCTTCTTTCACACTTAACCTGTCAACAGTAATTGAAATGGTGAGTGCCAGTGAAAGCGTCCAGTGTGGGTTTACATGTTTTTGTTTATTTATTATGCTTTTATGTGTGCCTGCAGGGCGTATGAAATGCTTTTGTCGCTTGGTTTCAGGTAATGATGTCAAAGCTAGGGAATGCTGGAGGGACAGGTAGTGTGGTCCTCCACCGGGACTCTGACATAATGTCGCAAAAACCTTGGTACTTCACACTGACAGATTAGACTATCAGACATTTACACAGAAAATGTGGGGTTTCAACACTGAATTGATCATCTGGAGCCATGCTACACGCTTCCAAATATTTAATCTCTGAAACTGTTATTCCACATCTGTACAAACAAGTTAGTGAATTCCTGAGATCCTTTTTAAAACACTCTAATAGGTGGAGAGAGACAGAGAGAAATCAAGAAAGTGATAGATGGAGAGAGATAGATGTGGACACACCTGCCAGCATGTAGAAGCAACACCGCCACAAAATACTAACATGCTCACTTGAGCAACTGCAAGAGTGCTGGTATGTGCATGTGTGAGTCATGTGTCTGTGTGTGCCTTTCAGGCGTGTTGTGCTCAGTGCTGTAGTGTGATCCATGAATGGTGCTACTTTGTGGTGACATTCCAGTGCCTTTTCACTAAGTCAGCTCTGCTAGTACCAGTTGTACATGACAGAAAAATTAAATTAGCTTGAGAGCCATCACTTTTTAATCACCTGATAGCAAAATACTTGCACAGTGTTGTAATGTGGATGTAATGGTATAGTAAACAGAAATGTGTAAATGTAGCAGAATGAAAAAGCGCTCAGGTGAAATGAGGAGCTTGTGATGAAAGCTAGATGTCACGTTTGCTTACTTCAAAAGTCCACTGACTCTGGATACGGCGCGTTACGGCTGCGCCGCGGTTTTGATCCGTCCAAGGCCCGGCGTCAAAGTCCACTGGAAGCATCTCAGAAGCGTTTCAGCAGCAGGGCCTGTAGCCTGAACCACGTTATTGACTTGTTATTAATTTGTCCTTTTTGTGCTTCTACTTCCTTCTTCACATCCCTCTGTGACCCCGTGTTGTTCAGTCGTTTGCAGCCTGCATATCCCACAGGGAGCATTTCAGAATCAGAGCATTTTGATATTCTCTGCAGAGCGAAGTGTAGAGCCAATTCTGCAGCATTTCTGGGACGTGATGCGGCCGCGTGTTGTGGACTCACAAGCATTGACTAGAATGGCTGCTATTAGCTCCAGCAACCGTGGCGCAGCCGGAGTCAGTTGTTATGGAAATTATTGTGTTATTATGTCCTACATTTCATCATTGTATTCAGTTGGCCACCACCAGCAGGGCTCAACACTTTTACAAGTGGTTGCCAGGCTGGCAACCAAACATCAGCTTTTGGTTGCCTAAACTGAAAAAAGTCACCTTGTATTTTGAGTAATTAAGATACTTTCCTATCCTTTCACACCCCATATCCCACAGTCACACAGCTTAATTTGCTTTGCCATTGTCTCTGAAACAGATTCCTGGGCATAGGGCTGGGCAATAAAACAATATTGATAATTATCGCAATGTAATTTTCCTCATTAACAAAATAACAAATGCTTAATAAATGTTTAATTTATTTGAATTGCAAATGAATAATTTTTCTATTAAGATTTATTTTTTAGGAAAAGGGACTGAAATATTTCCCCTCCTGCATATTTGTTGGAAAGGAGCCGAAATCAGCCTTTAAACTACTGAAATAAATAAAGATTTGACATTTATCCTGATAATTATTGTTATCGATTAATATGAAATTTTTTATCATCATAACATTTTTGGTCATATTGCTGTCCGACTGTAACAGCAATACTTACATTACATTTACACTTATTCATTTAGCTGACGCTTTTATCCAAAGCGACTTACAATTGCAGAGGTCACACACCTCTGGAGCAACTAGGGGTTAAGTGTCTTGCTCGGGGACACATTGGTGGATGGGTTACAGTGGGAATTGAACCTGGGTCTCTCACACCAAAGGAATGGATCTTATCCATAAGCGCTGCAACCTTAAGGCACCTGTGTGGCAAACCATCAAGCACATTTGCCAGTTTTTCTTTATGGCTTTTGGCATCACAAAGTTAGGAAGTCTTACTATATTTCAGTTGGATGACTGTAATAACAGCCATGTGACCTAAGGTCAGACCAAGCAAGCAAGCAAGCAGACCAAGAATATGTGTACTTTGGTAAGGCCTCATGAAAATATATAAGCCTGTGAATTTATTTTTTTTTGTCATCCTTTTTGGCGATTTTTAAGAAAACTGAGCACAGAACTTTTGCTGAGGAATATAGGTACAGAAAGCCACACAGTTAAGAAGACACAGACAGACATAGAGACAGACCCAGATTAGCAGACACTAGGAAACAAAGGAAATAAAAAATACTTGAGAGTGAGAAAGAGAAGCGAGAAAGCTTGACTACAGGATGTTTTGATTTCATCCTCCTATTGTCAGCAATGTGCAGAGAAATGGGACGGGACGTTGTGGAGCTCATCTGATGAACTGACCAGTGTGTACTGGTCTCCTGTCTCTGAGAATGCTCCCATTAGAATAATTATATGAAGTGATGTGGTTTATTTCATGCCTCTTCCAAACTGATAAAACAAAATTTGAAGACTCAGTTGTCATTCAGCTAACAATCATCTTTAGTTGCAACATAAAGTAGAAAACTCCTACAATACATACTTGAATATACTTCCATGAATATAGACAAGAATAGTGAAGTAAACTCTGCGCTTAGTTTTGCCTGGGCCCTGCAGTGGACATCAGGCGTGATGGGGAGGACTAGATGAAGGAAGGAACAGTGGAGAGATGGAGAAAAAACTGCAAGGCGTTGTTAAGAACAGTGCCCCGTTCCCCCCCTTTCCTCCTCCATTCCTCCTCTCCTCTGGTGAGGGATCACTAGGGGAAATCCAAACACTGCAGGAATGTTATCATTGTATTGCATTAGCAGCATTCCCCGGCTCATTTAATAGACTACAGACCCATCTCTGTGTGTGTGTGTGTGTGTGTGTGTGTGTGTGTGTGTGTGTGTGCTGTGCACTCATGAATTCCTGTCAGTTTACTTGCGTGTATTATTTGTGTGCCCCCCCCCCCCCCCCCCCCCCATGTCTGTTTATGCATATATTTTTGTATGCAATTAACCAAAGAGGCCAAATAAAAAATGGACTGCTGCTTTTTTGAATCAAGAGAATATTACAAAAATATAAAGGAGGCTAAAAGAAATCAGTTTGCATGGACATGTGCTTTGGCTGTCAGCGTGCAGTGGTTTGTCACAGCAGCTTGTGCAGCTCCTTTTTTGGCAAAATGTGAAGCCAGCACCGGGGATGTTATGTCATGGGTAATGTTCAGCAATTATCAGTGAAGGGAAAGTTGGTACTTGTTATGTTGTTAAGATGGCATAAGAGGGGATGAGAAACCCAATGGGAGAGTGTGAATAGCTGACCAGTGTAAGGCGGTATAGGTGAGAAATTATAACTGACAGGCTGTTCATAACTCCAGTTTTTACTTAATTTTAAAATATGTTAAAATGAACTCATTGCATTGCTGACTTATATGGGTGTTGGGTTTAAATATCGGTTTAGAGTGTGAGATTGTAGTAGAAAGGTTAGACAGTGCAGAACCTCAGTATTCAGGGTTATATGTTTTTAAATATTTTCGTGTTTGGTGTGATGACAACTGTATTATGTGTGTAGGTTCATGATCTGAAATGATGGATACATGGTTTAATAGTTAATGACGTAAGCTTTTTATGGCTGTTTTAATAGTTAAGTTAATAGTCTGTGATCAGAAACTTCCTTCCAAAACATCACACCTGCATAAATCTGTCCATTCACTATTGATCTGTGCCCATTTACAAATCATTAGACCTGATGATTAGAGTGTACCTCTAATTTATTTCCTCAGACTGCAGTCTTTGCTAGTAGGAAGCATGAATCATATATAAGTGGTTCAGCTGTGTGTGTGTGTGTGTGTGTGTGTGTGTGTGTGTGTGTGTTAAAGAGCGTGAGTGTGCATCCAGGTGGAGTGCATCTGTTGGCCTTTTAGGTCAGCACTTTAGTATCTGTGGTCACGTCTTGCGCCTGCTTTTCCCTTCCCCTCCTTGATTCTGCTCTGCTCTCCCTTCTTTGCTATATTCTCTTCTTTTCTTTATGTCAGATTCTCCTTCCTTCCATCTCTCTATATTTTTTTTTCTCTCCCCCTTCCTGTCCTCTTCCAGCCACTCTTTCCTTTTCTCTTTTTTCCATTTCAAATTGCTTTACTGGCATAAACGTCAGAAGAAAAATATTGCCAAATCTTCAGTTCATTAAATAAATAAAATAACAGTAAATGTGTTCTTACCAAAAGTCAGTAGTATATAGAAGTAATTTTATGTTTAGGATCAATAAAGAAACAAAAATATATTAATAAAAAATTATAAGTATCAAATGTGAAAAGTAAAAAAAAAACAAAAAAAAACAACAACCCCATGAAGTAGTGGAGTAAATCAAAAGGCAGAGTGAGTTGTAGGGAGACTAACTTCATCCTCTACCCTGAGTCTGATCTTGTTTCAAAGGCTACGTTCTGACTGTAGGCCTTAATGCGCAATTCTTTTTTTAGTTTTAGATCTCACGTTATTGCTTAAATGTGGCACATATCAGACTCCAGTCTGAACTGTCTGTGGCCTGAAAGTGACCCGCATGCGCATTAGAATAACACGACATCACACGTAGCACGCTGTTGTAGGCTACAGAAGTAAACAAGGAGCAACAGAGGTTAGCTCCGGTTAGCTCACAGGAGACTCACGTTTTTCATTGTCCTCTCACGGGTCACATTTCTCGGGACCACATATGGAAGTGGCCCAAATCTGAACTGGAAAAGATCAGATTCCATGTGACTTGGCCTGTTCACACTGTCATAAAAAGTTAATATCTGAGTCACATATGAGCAGAAAAATTGGATTTGGGTCATTTAGGCTGATGTTTGATGTTCAGACTGCAGGCCAAAGTTTTACTTAACTCTTGGACTCTTTGCCCAGTGTAATGATTTTAAATGTTGAGATGATCTCCCTTGTGTTCTACAGCAGCAGAAATAATGAAAATGACTAACAAAATAATAAGGATTACAACTTTTGCAGTCATTATTAATCGTGAAAACTTACCACACATTAATTATCATCATGCAGTTCTTGCATTTGTTCTTTTTTCTATTGCTTCAGGAATAAGATGCGAAATCTGTTTTGTATTCAAATGACGCATAAATGGTTAAAACAGCTTTTTAACGCTTAAACTCTTCTTTCTTTCTTGCAGGTTGCAGTCGTAAAAGTGAGAAACACTGACAAGGTATTCGCCATGAAGATTCTCAACAAATGGGAGATGCTGAAGCGAGCAGAGGTGAGCACCACTCACTGTCTTTTTTGGGGTTTTGCCGGTAGTGGTTTTAGGTACTGGGCCATTGTGGCAGTGTTGGGGAAATCTTTAAAGATGATGATGATGATAATAATGAGGATTGATGGTTCATTTAAAAAAACAAAATGTCTGCTGTCCAACCACAATACTCATTTATCCACACTCAAATTGGGCCTTCATCGATAAATGCTTGCAGAACACGTTGCTGCTTGAGCTGCACGAGCTGCATGTTTTTCTCATCGACCTCTTCCTGACAGTCTGACATTCCTGTTGGTCTCCTGGGTCTTCAGTCTTCATGCCTCATACGTCACACGCTGAAACTGGTCCCTGCTGTGTCTGTGTGTGTGTGTGTGTGTGTGTGTGTGTGCGTGCGCGCGCAAACGCCTGGACATGGGAAACAACGTAGAGCAACAGATGTACTGTAGTCTGTGCACACTAAGCATGTACTTGTCGCTGTAGACAGAGAACACCAAAAGGATGTGGTGTTGATTTATATTATAAAGTGACCTATTTACACAACAACATTGAAAATTTGATTTGCACATAGAACCCGACTAGAAGTGAGGTGTGCACCAAATCACAGTCCACCACCAGGGTGGTGTATAGAATACTGACACACTGTCCATTCCCTGTGATAGGGTTACATGCATGAGGGCCCATGTCTCTGGGTCTCATGTTAAGACAGGAAGTCAGAAAGCGACTTGCAATATAATAACCTGGCTACTACAAAACCTTTGTCAATGTGAGGCTGATCAGATCCTCCTATCTTGAACTGTATTTTTGATTCAAGACGGTCATATGTGAAGTCGTGGTAGCCTGAGGAGTTTTCTTTTCTTTTCTGCTCAGACAGGACAGGCAGAACAGAGAGAGGTCAGGTTGAGTTTTGCCACACATCACACATTGTTTCTGTGCGCGCATGTGTTTTTACAAAAGAAAAGTACCGTCCAGCTGTATGAGTCTTTTTACTTACTTATGATTTTTTTTAATCAGAATTTGAATTGAATTATTTTTGGACATAAGAAAATCATCCCCAACTTCTTTCCTTCTACTTTGTCACTCAAATTACAACATTAAAATTGATTTAAGTGAACAAATGCTTGCTCAGAAAACAGCATGAAAAATCCTCTTTGATAGATGGTAAATTGTTGCTGGTGTAACATGGTTATAAATGCGGTTAACTGGCACATATGTTTGGTACGTTCTAACATGTACACATGAAAATTGTATTGCCATTCTCTCATACTGTCGTCATTTTAATCTTCAGTAAAAAAATCTATTGCGTCTTTTCTTTAGACGGCGTGTTTTCGGGAGGAACGAGATGTGTTGGTAAATGGGGACTGCCAGTGGATCACCACCCTGCACTATGCCTTCCAGGACGACAATAATCTGGTAATGGAGCACTCTCATTCGTCTTCTCTCTGTAGATGTGTATATTCATGAGTAGGAAATTTTTTTTCTCTCCACCAACCACACTAATTGTAATTCCAGAAATGCCCCCGCTTTGTTAACCTTAGCGTAGTTTAGGGAACTTTTTAACCTTTGACTTATCTGATATATCGAGATCCTTTCGAGCATAACCACACCTTACTTCATACATTTCAGCACATTGAAATTTTGGTACTTTCCAAAGTAACAACCACAGTCTTCTACTGAGTAGCTCCACCTGTCACTTTCACCATTTCACCGGCCTATTCATTTATAGAAAACAGTAACACCTCCACATGATGTCTGGTGACCTGCTAAACTCTGACCAGCACATTCATTTCTCACCACAAAGCACAACATGACTTAGATTTTTAGGAAATTGGGCAACAGAAGTTAACATGGCCAAAAAACATTTCTGTAAAAGACCAAAAGAATGACTTTGGAGCTGGCTGACTGGTTGTGGGCCAAGCTCTTTCTCGCTTTCATTGGCTGCTGGAGGCGATCGCTCTCTCTGTGTAACCTGACAGTCCGTTCTCTCTGTGTGACCCTGAGTTCAAATGCCAGGACTGCTTGTCATTCCATTTCCCACATTCTCACAACAAATGCTTTACCCTGGACACTCCCCAAGGCTTTAAAAATATACACGCTGCCTGTCCAGCCTTCTATTTTTAGGAAATCTCTCAAAGGTTTAAAATCGTTTAGGAGCTCTCTGCCTCAGTGCCTCTCTGTAGTAATTATACTGTGAGAAAAAAGGGAGAGGAGAACGAGGGGGAGGGGGAAAGGAGGATGGTATAGTTTCTACTTTTATGTGTGACTTTCTTGCATTGTTTTCCCTATAAACCATCTCACTTTTCACACTATAAACATCTTATTAGTCTAAATTGAGTTCTATTCTTCACCTTTTGTTAGTTTATTTTCCAGTACGTGTCATTGACCTTTATCTCCTATTGTTTTTCCCTTTCTCTCTGTCTGTCCCTTTGTCTCTCTAGTACCTGGTCATGGACTACTATGTGGGCGGTGATCTTCTGACTCTGCTTAGTAAGTTTGAGGACCGGCTGCCGGAGGAGATGGCCAAGTTCTACCTGGCTGAGATGGTGCTGGCCATCGACTCGGTTCACCAGCTACACTATGTCCACAGGTGAGGAGCAGGCAGAATGTGTGTGTGCATGTCAGAAGGTATGAATGAAGGTGTGTCTGTAATTAGTTTTTTGTAGAGCAACAGACAGAGCAGTAAGTCCTGATGATGGATGTTTGACATTATTCTTGCTGCATGGGCAATATTCCAGCCGTGGGGAGCCACTGCAGCTAAATGAAAATATTGGAGAGTGTGTGTGCACATGTTTGTCTTCAGTCATCTCTGAAGGTAGTCAATACCGCTGACTAATTATAGAGTATATTAGTTTGTGTTCCTGTGTGTGTTATTATTTCACCTTTGAACATTCCCATTTGCGGTTAGGTTTGTTGTGAGACAGGATTTCAATGCTTTGGAAAATTACTGTAGTGCTGGAAGAAATACTTAGACACTTTTACCTAGTTAAAAGTTCCAATACATCATGTCATTACAAGTAAGGACTTGTACTACTTAAGGAAATGTACACCAGTATTATCAGCAAAATGTACTTAAAGGGTCTATAATCAATATTTTTAAAATGGCAACGTACCAAATGGGAAAGGTGTTTCTCATAGTGATGAACCTACAGAGAGTTATCACCTGAATCTGCAGCTCCCTTCAGCTTTACGTCGCTTTATAGCAAGTTTCAGCTCAGTATTTAGCTGACGATCCCACAACTGTACTGTTTTGGTTTGCTGTCACCATCTGACTAGCTGGTCACCACAGTGGAGCATTTAGCAGCTAAAGAGTCAGATATTTCCCTCAAGAGTTCGTGGAGACCAAAATCATCTGCAGCGACGCATTGGATTTTATTAGCTTGCTATGCTTCTTTTTTTTATTTTTATTTTTTTATGAAAAATGTACTTTTTTGTTAGGTTTTCTTTTAAAAAGTGATAAATATGTGCCAACTGGACACAAAACACTCTTTAAAAAAAAAAAAAAAAAAAGCAAAAAAAAACTATCATGGTATATGTAATTTTAGATCACGGTAACAAAATATATCACAATACAATAATTGAAATGGTTTAAAATGACTATACCATACCTCTTTTAATTGGAAATTCCATGCAAAGAGAACCCTCCCTGCTCTGTATTCACATTTCATTTACATTATCGGGGTAATCTTTACTTATTACCATTGACGGCAACATTGCTCTAAAATTTACTCGTGTATTATCAGCTGAAGTCTTGAGGTGGAAACGGTATTGACCAATATCTACCCATGGACACATTTCTACCATCACACAGTATATTCTGTCAGATCGTCCAAGCCTAATACATATTCATATTAATCCATACTCATTCTGCTCTTGGAGGAAAAGAAAATGATTGTAAATTGGAAGATATGCCCTTTAACGCAAGTATATTAATAGTATACAAAATCAGGCCTTATAGTTGACACGTGGGTCAGGCATTTTGACCAATTTTCATCAAAGATATCAATTTGAGTTCTTAGTTTAAATCTAATTCTCTCCATCTTTCAGCCACTAGAAGATGCCCTTTGGAGCAGGAAGTCAGGCTCTAACATGTAGGAAGTGGTCAAATCGGCATGTTAACACAATTACAGTGTTACTATCGCCGGGGGGCTCGTCGCAGTAATTTTGTTAAAGGAGCAATGGATGGATGGATAGACGGAGGGAAAGATGAGAGATGGATAGAGAACAAGGGAGGGTCAGAAAAAGGGTGCCATAAACCCAGGCTGCTTGGTGGGATAACGTTTTGGGTGTGTCTGTAGTCGCTCCAATCTCTAATACGCCGCTGGAAAATCAGACGGAAAGAGACCTACTGAGAGACGAGGAGTTATAGAGAGATGTAGATATATACATGTATAAGTAAGGAAAGGGAGTGAATGAGAAGAGAGTCGGGAGCCACTAATTGCATGGTGTTATCTGGGGGCCGTAGATGGGGGTTGGCGGTGGCAGCGCAGACGGAGAAGTGGATGGATGGAAAAAGGGACAGGGAGGAGGGGACAGAACTGTTTCTCTTTAAGTCCCCTCGTGGACGCTTTGGGACAGTAATGATGGGGTATGGGAGGTGTGTGGGTGGGGTTGTGGTGCTGTTACCTCCCCCTGATGTACCAACCCCCAACTCCTCCTTTGCTCTCTCTTCTCACTTACACACACACTCGTGGGAGATTTGTAAGCTTGCTTTGTAGAGGGTGGAGACGGCAAGACTGGTCCCTCGAGGAGGGTGTGTCCTGCTGGCTGGTCCTGTCTGATGATTGTGTGTGTGTGTGTGTGTGTGTGTGTGTGTGTTTGGGTGCATGTGCATAGGATGTGTGTTTATCCTAGTGATGGTGTTTAAGTGTGAGTTTGGTGCGTTTCCTATTCTTACGACCAAGTTACACAGTTAAGAGTACGATGCATTAAATGAGTTTGTTTTTGGAAAAGACTTTCTGAATATAAGCAACACTTTGAATAAAAGTGTCGGCAGATACTATGTTTGACATCTTTTACATGTATAGTCAGATTTAAATGACAGTACATAAACAAGAAAATAATTAACAAATATGTCGAACTTGCTTAATAACGGCTACAAAATCAGTCAGACCTGTCATATAAGGAGAATTTTCCCAGTCCAAGGATAAGGTAGTTATAAATCCCATATCTGTTCTGTTAGCAGACAGAGTGAGACAGATGTGAGCAGTGAGCATTTTTTTTCCTTTTTGAGTTCCTCATCATGACATTCAGTCACACTGGTAATTCGTGGCTGCTTGACGGACAATTTGGTCCCTAGTCTGTTTCAGTAGTAAAGACCTGTTTTTACTCTTAATGTATTTCCTCCATTGTAGGAAAACACTGCGCAAGCCATGACTCACACTTTCACACAAAGAAACTTAGGTGTAGCCTAACTGCATTAAGGCTACAAATAACCCATAATGCAACACTCTGTTGATCCCACTCTGTAAGAGCAGTATGAGCCCAGTACCTGCACAATTTACATGTAAATGTATAGTCTCCAAAAATAATGACCCCTCTTTATCAAAAATAATTCCAGAAGAAAAAACTAATGTTGTACATTTGGGCCAGTATGGTATTATATCCATGAAATGTAGTGTTCATCGAGTAATGGGTCAAGATGTTGGAAGGTAGTTGGCCTTGCCACCGTGTTGGTCCAATTAAAATTAATATTTGCAGTGGTGTTGACGCTGATGAAGTTGAAAAGAGCCCCAGATGAAAGAAATGAATTGCAAAGAGCCTCGAGGTCAGCCTTCTGTCCCACGAGAGGCAGCGTGTGTTAGAGTCGGAAGCAAAGGGAGACTCTGTGTGTGTGTTTGTGTGTGTGTGTGTGTGTTCATTTATTCAGTGGTCAGTGATCTCCATGACCTCCCAAAGGGGCCTGACAAATGTTTGAATAGGCCAACTCAGCATGGCTTTGTGCTACCTAGCACCACATCTGCCTACCAAAGGTGCGTGCGTGCGTGCGTGCGAGAGAGAAAGACTGCCTGAGAGAGGGGGATTCTGAAAGAGTGAGAGTTGAGGCGGGGGTTGGTACATGAGGGACAGCTGTGTGTGTGGATAGATGGAGGGGGAGATTTGTTGTGATCATGGAGAAAGGAAGGCAGATGACAGCACACACTCATGAAATTAGATGTTGTGAGAGTGTGACAGTTAACATCTGTTCTGAATGGGGTCTTACTACTGTAGAGTACTGTGTAATTGTGTGCGATGGTGTGTGTTTTTTTTCCTATTGATTACACCCTTTGTGTGTTTTATTATTGATCAGGACCATGTGTCTCTTCACAGTCCAGTGATCTAAGAGAGAACAGGGCTCCCTCTTTCTCTCTTATGCACACACGTAACCATCTCTTATTTATTATATATATATATATATATATATATATATATATATATATATATATATATATATATATATATATATATATATATATATATATATATATATATATAAATAATATAAAGTAATCAACTGATGCCAGAAGTCACAAAGGCAGTAGCAGTTCTTTGAACCATTAGTTAACAAACGCCTGGCTAGAAACATGTGGACATGCCTTGTCTCTGCAGTTTCCAGTGTTGCTGCAGGCCACTGTGTGTTTGTGTGTGTGGGTGAATTGTGAGGTGGTGTCCAGATGGCCCTCACAGATGGATGCTGTGGTCTTAGAAGAGATTACCTCCCTCTATTCTCGTCTCTGCGGTGCTCTTTAAGACCACAGGAGCTCTGTGACACAGTAGCCCAATTAGCTACGCCAACCAACGTAGCCTAGCACTAGCTTAGCACCAGGACCTCTCTATGTTTGTCCATGTGTGGAAGGCTAAATATGAGTCAGCTCTTGTGGTGTTAGCCGGGGGCTTTTATTTGGCTGCCCTGACCATTGGGGGGGCTCGTCACAACAGTCAGTCAGACAGATCGTTAAAGAAAAGATGATAAGTGCAGTAGGCAAAACGTAATGCTGACTTTTGATGTCTGAGACAGAAAGAGAGGTCAGGGACATTAGGGAGGGTGGTAGAGAGACAATTGCTGCTAAGAAGAGAGAGGGAGGAGGAGAGGGGAGTGGGCAGACAGCTTTGCTGAGTACTAAATGGTTTATCAGCAGCAGCACCAGTACCTCCTCCCCTTACCCCCACTGTGCCATTTGTCTGCCACACACATTGGCAGGGAAGGGTCAACTCATCCTGTCTGCTTTTTTGGCAGACGAGAAGTCTCTGCAGCAGATTAAGGCCTTCCAGCAATAGAAGCACCCATGTATATACGTATACACATACACCCACAGATCCACATGCTCACAGTCTAGTCCAAGTGTTACGGGGGTCATTCATGAAGGTCTACACTTCCCGTCAAGGTAATCCACATACTGTGTGCAGAGGTCGTGTGCCTGTCAGTATACACAGTTCTATGTAAGGTTAAAATGTTCTGTTTATAACATTATACAATTGCCAGCCAAAAGCCACACGTTTTTCCAGTGATTATGCCCAAGTTTGTAGGTTTCGAGTTGTTAAAGTTAAAGCAAAGGTTCAGACATAACAGAGCAGTGTAGAGTCCAGGATAAATGTCCTCTTAGGGACTAAGAAACTTTTATCATAGACATCTAAATCCCCTGTCTCCAAGCTCTCTTTAATAGTGTGACCTTGAGTATACCATATTGTCAGTTGTTTATGTGCGTTTGTGCCTGCCAAGTTCATGTTTCTCCAGATTGGTTGTGTGAATATATGCACTTGCGAAGAGTATGTGGTTTCCATCCAAAATGCTATACACACACACCATCCGCTTTGGAAAGCGATGTCCAATCTGGAACTCATCTGTGAGCAGTCAAGATCTTTTAAAAAGGCTTCTAAATAACCCATGATGTAAACAGTGATTTGGTAAAAGTAAGCGTCAATTTATATATATGTTTTGGAGCCCAACTTTTATGTGTCTGTACAAGTCACATGTGTGCACATATTACTTGAACTCATGGTTTTAAAGGCTTTTTATTCAGGGGCGTAATAAAGCATTTCTTTATCTGAAGCAGAGAGACAGCTAGCCCACCCCCTGCTCCAGCCCCATGAGATGGGACTATTAACACTACTGGAAAATGACAGGGGCTCCACAGCTGGCTTTGAAGAGATCTTTAGCTGAAGACAGAAACATCAAAGGCGTCTTCAAAGCCACTTTATGTCTGCTCACTCAATCTCTCAGGCTTGGGCAGTAGTCTCATGTATCTATAGTAGTTAACAAGATTGGAAGAAAAATGTGAAGTGCAATGTGGGAATTTCATGAGCTCTAACTGATTAGCTTCTACTTCCTGAAGTTATGCTATGCAGCAAAATGGATTGTTTTGCCAGGCAGCGCTGTCACATTGGATATTATCTATTGGAAGGCACAGGAATTTATTTGTGACCTCAGTGTAACTTTTATCAGATGCAGCTCTTGTCTGAGGTCTCTTTGAAGCCAAATCTAAAAATGCACAGTGTGTAATGGCTGAATAGTCCAATCTAGAGCTATTGTCATTAGCAAATGTAGCAGATTGTGGACTTTTCTTAAATGTATTGAGCTTGGAGGATCTACTTCTGTTTTATTTTATTTTTTGTTGTGTTTGATTCTTATGTATTTGAATCAAACACGCACCCATTTCTTATTAGCATTTGTATACTATTGGTGTGTTTGTGCATGAGTTAGGGGAAGGGAGTACAGAGGTGTGTGTGTGTGTGTGTGTGTGTGTGTGTGTGTGTGTACTTGTTTTGGATCGGGTTTATTGTATCAAGCAGAGCCTTGCTCACATTACTGCCCAGAAATAGCACCAGCTCAACTTCTGTAACCTGTGACATCATCAAGATGTGTGTCTGTTTTAAACTAATGTGTTACACATCATTCTCTTAACCGCTGTCATTTGTGTGTTTCTGTATGTACTGTGTGCTTTTGACACCACTCTACAGAGCTTTTTTGTGCCCTCCATACCATGAGTATAGACCCGTGTCATGGTTCAGTGTGTTGATAAGACGGCCTCAGACACAGGGCTCGACGGGGTCTGCCCTCAAGCGAAATCAGTGGTATGGTCAGACATGGACAGAGGCTATATTTAGCCATAGTGGTTACAGTGACATCTTCATTTTGTGCCAGTCCAGGCCAGTAATCACTGAGGTAATTTATATCAATTTATTTAAATAGCAGCAATTCACAACAGAAGTTTTCTCATTGAGCTTTTCTTATTGAGCAGGTCAACCAAATACACACATTATTCAGAATAATAATGCTGACACCAGAAGGTCACAGATGAAACATAAAGCTAAGGGGTTATTGTTCCTAGAACTACTCTTACAAGCTGAGATCTACATTAGCACACTTAGACTGCCATGTAAGACAATAGCACCAGCAGCACAACACAAACCACCTGTCAGTGACCACCTGTTAAACACAATGGAAGATCTTCTGCACCTCATTTCCTTTAAGATAAATCCCTAGTAGTTTGTGGGGACCTAGAAGTTGAAGTTACATGTAACATGCAGAGGGTAGACAAATGTTTCATAAAGCTGCAAATAACGCAAAACCCGCACAGCGCTACGTCCTGTAGAAATATATCTTGAAAATGAAGAGGTTTTAGGACATGGAAAGAAACCAGCACTGGCAACTACAGCTGAATTAGTCAATTAATGAGAATGAATCAGAATTTCAGAACAGTAATCTGAAATGATCTTGATTGATTGTTTCAATTTTCAGTTGGGCGGATTTGCTGCTTTTCTTTGATACACTGTCTATTGTGATATAATACTGTATGATATAGATAGATAGATATAGTGACATAATGGGCAAAAAAAAGATGAGAAAACAAAACGGGCAAAAAACCCCAGTAAAGATAGGTGGGTGTGCATCTTTGCATTTAAATAAAATTAGATGTCCGGTGAGTGAAGTAGTAAATGCCATACCGTCAGCTTCAGTCTGTTTTATGTGACAGTTAACTGAATATCTTTGGGTGTTGAACTGCATGTCAGACATTTGAAGACACGTGGGCTTGAGGATTTTGTGATCAGCAATTTTCACGCTTATATACCCCACTATAAACCTTTGTAGCCCTATTGGCCACCAACCAAATGCTCCTCCTTCAGATGAACCTGTTCCTCTCTAAAAACCTAGTTTGCTGGTTAAATAGTGAAAGTAGCTGAGGAATACTGAGATGGTCCAGCCGGTGTAGCTGATAGACAGAAGACTCTGTGTTGCAATGAATTCTACCAATTGGAATCAAGCCACAGTCTGTATCTATATTATAAACATATCATCAGCAGTAGTAATGCAGAACAGATGCCGGTTAAGAAGAAATTCTACAGTGGCCATCGTGTACACATCTGTGAAAGAATGTGTTGTCAGTAACCCCCCACTCAGTCTGCCTCTGTTCACAAACAGAAATATTGCTGGAAAAGTGAACCGGGGAGTGTGTCTGTTTAGGACACAAGGTCTTTTTTTGTGAGTGGGAGTGTGTTTGTGCGTTGCATATTTCCTCAAACAGAGTGCATGTTTATGTGTGGGGTTTTTTATTTATTTTTTCCTTTTTTTTAAAAAGCTGTGTCCACACACGCACGCACGACACACACACACACACACACACACACACACACACACACACACAGCTTTTCTTAACTATTTCCAGAGTTTATTCTTTCTTCCGGCCAATTTAGAGTTGAAGGGGGGAAATTACACTTAATTTAATCACAAATATATGTGAGTTATTACACACTAACTTCACAAGCAAGTTAAGACCGTTAAATTCCCCCAGGTTATGTAATTTAATCAGATGATAACTGATGGTTGTACTGTAATATGAAACCAGTGTGGCTTGTGTGTGCGTTTTCATTGTCCTATAGGTATTGTTTGGTTTGGAAGAATGTATCTTCTTTATTCTACTCTGAGTAGTCGCTTGTTTAAAAAAAACCTTGCCTTTTTCCTCTGTCTTCTTTCAGGGACATTAAGCCCGACAACATATTGTTGGATATGAACGGCCATATCCGCCTGGCTGACTTCGGCTCCTGCCTCAAACTCATGGAGGACGGGACGGTGAGTTTTTACCACACTGCTGCAGATGCCTCCTCCAGTCCAAAGCAAACATACCAGAGCTTTCGCTGACCTCCTTGTCAACCCTCAGGGGTCTCCCAGGAGGAGCGTGTGGTTCAGCGGCTTGGCCGTGCCTGCGCTTTATGATTCAGACAATTCTCTTAGCAAAAAAAGAGAGAAAACATTCCCCTCAGGTGTTATGTAAAAGAAAAATGACAGGAAGAAATAGATGATCAAAGAAGTGTCTGCGTTTGTTTCTCCAATGTTAATATAGTGGTGAGGTTATATGACCATTTGAAAAAATAAATTCAGAGTTTGTTGGACACTTCTGAGAACAACGTCTTAGACTAAAATGTCTAGATTGAAGCTTTGAATCATAAGATGCCAACATGTGATGAGTCCCATTCCAACATCTGCTTAGTCTCTTTCTCTGTGGAAAGTTTGGCACTTAATCATGAAATGTAGTAATTTACTGCTTTGATTTAAAGTCAAGATTCAGAATCAAATGTGCATTCTCAAAATTGCTTTGAAATAAGTTAAAACAGCGTAGACAATGGAATCCATCCTGTAGTGGGGGTCTGGAAGTTCAATACTCTTTGTTTGGTTGTTTGCTGTTGCTGGAGAGGTGGTATTCATCTCGCGTGTTTCCAAAACTTCAGCCTGTAACTGATATTATTACTTTCATTAGCATGCAGGCTGACATTGATTACTTAAGCTCTGTCTTTTGCAGGATTTTTTTGGGGGATCATATCTTGACGTTTGTTTGGTTTGGTCTCTCTGCTAGGTCCAGTCCTCTGTGGCGGTGGGGACTCCAGACTACATCTCCCCAGAAATCCTCCAGGCTATGGAGGATGGGAAAGGCAAGTACGGACCTGAGTGCGACTGGTGGTCCCTGGGCGTCTGCATGTATGAAATGCTGTATGGCGAGACTCCTTTCTATGCAGAGTCCCTGGTGGAAACCTATGGGAAGATCATGAACCACAAGGTGAGCTTATAAAGAGATTGAAGTTCAATGTCACTACAGGGCTGAGAAATATCAAAGATGTAGCAGTAACAGAGAGGATACAGCAAATGGGCTGGTAAACACATTGATAGAGGCACAATGTATAGCGCAGGGGTATTCAATTAGAATTCAAAGAGGTCCAGTTAGAGAAAATTTCCCGAAGCAAAGGTCCGGAACATCAAAATGACTTAACTTGCGTTATCATTCAGTACCATAACATATACATATATAGTCAACAATGTCAGTTTTCACATCAAACTGGAGGGATAATAAATAATAACTACTCTAATAATACATTTTAAATTTAAGTAAACTAAAATATAGTGCCTAATGTTTTGAAAAACTGAAATAAAAAGTGTTGCTTGAAGTGATGAAGTGTAGTCTTAACCAGTTTTATAATACACAATCAACACATCATAACAAATGAACAGCTGTAATGCCTCCTCTTCTCTTTCATTCCCTCTTACAGAGCTACCACTTTCCTACTTTCTCTTGTTCAGTGAGAAACGTGACCTCTAGTTTGTCCTGCCAACTAGCATTGGAGATCTTCTGGTTTTGAACTGCCCGTGGGAGGAATGTACATGTAAAAATCTGTACATTCTTGATTAAAAGCCATGTGAAATCTCTTTTCCCTTTCACCTCCTCAATTCGTGTGTTTCTCCAAAACGTCTCTGGTGAATCTTGTGGACTCGACTCGCAAGCATCGGAATGCACAGATTTGATTGGCTGAGCAGCGTCACATGAGACGATTGGAGCACATGCATGCATTGGTCTATGAGTTTCCTGGTCCTCTAAACCAGTACAGTAAATGCTAGGTATAGAGAACGTGTAAAAATCAAGAATGACTACTGTAATTGGAGTATGTACAAAGAATTATGCTATAACAAAAATCCAGACAGAAATCCGAAGCACCGTAGGTGAAAGTTGATTGAAACATTATAATTAAAGCTTTCCATATATAGTACTCTTCAATAAAGGTAACAAAGTGCTTTACAGTAATCAATGTAAAACAGACAAGTCGAATAAAAGTTTCTACAACGAAGAACACAGTATATGAAACATAAAACAAGTCTCTGTAAAAGTAAAGGAAAAATAAGTTATGCATCACACAGTGGTTTATAATCAATAATTAAAACAGTTTGGGAACTTCATTTGTGTTTTTATGAAAAGTGATATGTTGAAATCCAGTCCCCTCTAACGCACACCACCGCATTTTGCACAGGAGCGGTTCCAGTTCCCGCAGCAGATAACAGATGTGTCGGAGGACGCAAAGGATCTGATTCGTCGGCTCATTTGCAGTCGAGAGCACCGATTGGGCCAGAATGGCATTGAGGACTTCAAGCACCACCCCTTCTTTACTGGTACGGGCACGAGTCTAACACTACAGATAGTCTCTCTGATTTGAATCTGTATGAATATGTATGTAATTGTGGATGTTTTATTGTTGGCATGCATAACAGTGTTTATGTGCCAACATAAGTTATTCTGAACTTTTTTTTCATTTTTTTTCTTCATTGATATATTTTAGATGTTAGTGTTTTTTTTCTCCCATTTTGGCACGCTGTGCTTGGTGTACTCTTTATGTTTTTTGTGTCTTGTTGTATGTGCAAATACATAAATTAAACTAAAACAAATAAACGAAACCTAAACATTATATACTACACATATATTGTAGTAGTATATGAAATAATGACAGTGCTAGCATGTCTTTTAAACAGAAGATGAAAAACAAAGTAAAGAAAATTTGTTTGATTGTATAGTTTATCTCTAAGCATCAATGAATACAATATAATCAGCATTTCAGCTACCCAGAGTTCATAGATGTGTACTTAATAAAGGAGTCATGGATCTTCCTCTGTTCTAAGTGTGACCTTTCTTGTTTTAAGGCATTGATTGGGAAAATATACTTGTGTGTGAGGCTCCGTACATCCCAGAGGTCAGCAGTCCTACAGATACCTCCAACTTTGATGTGGATGATGACTGCCTAAAGAACTCGGTAAGGGGCTTGCTTAGGGATCAACAGACTAAGACAAACGCCATACCCTCACAATGTTGTGCAGCTATAAATGTGTTCATATGATAATAAATATATTGGATGTGAAAATCTCACTACTTTGTCATGATTTTTAATAATTCTTTCAGGAGACGATGCCCCCTCCATCTCACACTGCTTTCTCTGGCCACCACCTGCCCTTTGTGGGTTTCACCTACACAAGTAAATGGTAAGTGCTACCATGGGATTATATTCAACCACTGCCCTAATATATTGTGGAAAGTCTTCCTTCACAATTATTGTTATTGTGGTTAGTGGATCTTGATTTGACAGATGAAATGAAGTGAAGACACGATTTTCTACTTGACAAAATGAAGATGATTGTTATCCATTTTTTCACCTTTTTTAATGAAGAGAAATGAAAAACGTGTGCCAAGAGGTCATTAGCTGTCTTCATTTCTAATTAGTCATTATACATGGAGAGATTTCCCAGACAAGCCTTCTCACTGCACAACATTCTTCTCACTCCATCTAAATAAGCGTCAGAGTATTAAATTAGTTTCCCTCCCTAATAAGGTGATGCTCATGACTTGCTGTAGATCTTCACTCTGAAGGCGACCCGTGAGAAAGCAGCAAACCAGCCACTTACTTTCTTATCTCTTCAAGGCTCAGTGATAATTGCCTTTTCAACTCTTTCTTTCTTCCCCCGCTGTCTTCCTCTCTCCTGCACTCCCGATCTTCCTTTGTGTATCTGTCGTTCCTTCTACGCCCTCCCTCTCCCTCCCTCTTCCATGACTCAACATCCTCTCATCTTTCAACTCATCTGTATCTCTGTCGTTCACATCTCTTTCCTGTTTCCCTTCCCCTGCTGTTTCTCTGTCATTTCCTTCTGGTCTCTTTCTCTTCCTTAACCAAACACTTACATATTGAGTTTTCTTTTACTGCTTAACACCATTATGTCCGTTTTTGACCTCTATAAACGGCCTTTTCTCGCCTTATTGCTCAACCTCCCTGCCATTTTTATCTACTTTCCTCACTCACACTCATTTTCCTGTCCTCCTCCCATAATAGTACGCTATCTGACCGGGGTTGCCTGCGACAGCTGGCAGTACAGCCTGGTAAGGCAGGTCAGGAACAGGTGGACCTGGATGTCCAGCGCGGCCTGGAGGACAGCCTGGCCACTGAGGCCTACGAGAGGAGGATCCGCCGCCTGGAGCAGGAGAAACTAGAGCTGAGCCGTAAACTGCAAGGTTAGGCTGACGAAAAGAGTCTGGTTGTGTGCATGTGTGAAATCACATACATTCATACAACCACATTGTAATTTGAGGCTGAGAGAGAGGAGACACATTAGTGCATAAATACATATATCCACACTTCACTGTACATTCAGTGGTATAACTAGAATGTGTGGGACTGTTTTTTTTAAGCATAACAAAGCACATAACTGATGCCTCTTACCTCTCGCAGAGTCGACTCAGACAGTGCAGGCCCTGCAGCACGCGACAGGCGAGGGCCCTCTCAGTGCCAACAAGGAGGTGGAGATCAGGAGTCTGAAAAGTGAGATTGACATCCTCAAGAAGCAGATCGCTGGTATGGATGTTTTTTTGTTCATATTTAGTTCAGCTCAGTAGTACTTTTACTTTACTATCATTTTATTCAATCTTAAACCTTTGTGTACATATTGTGCGCGTGTCTGTGTGTTTGCATCAGAATCAGGCCAACTTGAGAAGCAGCTCGAGGACGTGACGTCGGCCCGCAGGGACCTGGAGGACACATCGAAACACATCAAGACTCTGGAGAAACAGATGAAAAGTGTTGCACAGGAGAGGGATGACCTGCACAAGGTACAGCCAGTATTGTATGAGGATTTCTGTGTGTCTACATTTGTTTCTGTGTATGGATTTGCATTTTGCATTTGCATTTATATTAATCTAGATGCTGTGCTCGCAATGTAGGAAAACTTATAGTTGCTATGTTAAGTATTTTCCATATTAACAAAAATGTAGCAAATTGTCTTCAGGAATAACAATGCTTCAAAAAATACTTCAGCTTTTTACTTTATTAGAGGTATACATAGAAATTAAAATAATTCCCTGAAAGTGTGTGTTTGAATGTTTGAAGTTACATGAATAAGTGTGCCAGTTACAATAAGTTTAGTACAGCGCAAACAAGTTAACATTTTCATTCGCAGTGGAAGATGTTAGTGTCCTAATGTGCATGTCAATTCAAAGTATCAGTCGTGTGGAAATATGGAATATGAAAATAAGAAGGGTGGCCTTGCACACCACACTGCAACCAGATTACTCAGCTCTGATTTTGGCATCAAAGAAGTCAAATAAACTCCTGAATTTTCCTTGAAGTCACTGTGAGAGTCTTAATGTTTTTCTGCCCTCTCCCTTGTCTGGCAAGGATTTTCTGGAGATCAATGAGAAGCTGAAGTCTCAGTCAAAAGAGCTGAAGGAAGCCCACAGCCAAAGAAAACTGGCCATGCAGGAGTTTTCTGAGCTTAACGAGAGACTCACAGAACTCAGGTAGGATCACTGCTCTGGACCCTTTCCCAAAACCAAGACACCTAAACTTCCTAGATTCCTCACAATCACAGCTTCCTGTTGGGGTCGTCGTCGGTCGGTGGTTATATCTACCGATTCCACTCTAGCATGAGCTTAAAATATTAACTATCCTGTCAGATACAGTAATGCTGTTAAGTCTATAACTTTGGCCACTGTTATTAACCAATAATATCAGCTAAGCTAATTTGTGGAGACCAGAGGCAGCACAGTAGGCTACATGTAAGGTAGGCTAACATCAGGATAAAATTTGCACTGTTGTTATTTGCACTGGGGACACTTACCAGTCAGTAACTTTAACAACTTCTTGACTTAGTTTCTTTTTGGCCAAGTTTTCCGTTCTCTTATATTTTTAGATGTTCAACTGTCACCTGCCACTTGAATTTTGTGTTTCCCTTTTACACAAATAAAAACATTTCCACTTTAAATTATTGCAGGAAAGGAAATTGGTGCAGAAATTTTCACCAGAATGCAGGAAATTTCTCTGAGGGAGGACCCCCATGCCCCCCAACTTATTTATTTCAGCATTAATTGTTTTCTATAAAGTAGTGTTAAAATATCTTCTCGTCTTGTTCTCATGACACCAATATCGTGTATCATCTCGTGAGCTCAGTGTATCGTCACACCCCTAATCTGAGCCCTTATGTCCCCATCGCTTTTTAACACAAAGTGACGCCCTTGCGTGTCCGGGCTCTTCCTCTTGTTGCAGTACACAATTGCAAGTTATCTATACAAACATGTTCGCTTAAACAGACCCCTCTGACACTGTTTCTGTATGTTTATCTGCTTCCGTATCCTTCTCACCTTTTTTACCCCTGACCAGTTTGCATGCTTGTGTAATAATAGGTGTTTTTTTTTGTACTGAAGGTCCATGTCAGTCTTTCCTATTATGTGTATTTTTCTCACCTGTAACATTTACATGCTGTTGTGACTGAACTTTTCACCCAGGTCTGCGAAGCAGCGCCTGGCTCGCCAGCTGCGTGACAAGGAGGAGGAGATGGAGAGCCAGAGTCAGAAGGTTGAGGCTCTCCGCCTTGAGGTGCGAAAGGCTGAGAGGGCCAAGAAGGAGGTAGAGTAGTCTCCCTGTGGTTGCTAGCACACCCTCTTCTCCATTCACTGGTTGGTGCACAACTTCTGTTGCTGTCTGTGCATTATACTCACGTCACCTTTTTAGAAATATTTAGAGATTTCTTTGAATATTCATACAGTAGATTAGAAACAATTTTGCAGTGGCTGCATTTTAGCATATAATGTGTTTCCTCACCGTTGCAAGAACATTGCAGACTTTATGTAGTAAGATTTCCATCAATTTAGAGTACTATAGGACTCCATAGGTTGATACACAGCACTCTATATATATATATATATATATAGATATATAGATATATAGATATATAGATATAGATATATAGATATATAGATATATAGATATATAGATATATAGATATATAGATATATATATAGATATAGATATATATATAGATATATAGATATATAGATATATAGATATATAGATATATAGATATAGATATATAGATATATAGATATAGATATAGATATATAGATATAGATATAGATAGATATAGATATATATAGATATAGATATAGATATAGATATAGATATATAGAGATATAGATAGATATAGATAGATATAGAGATATAGATAGATATAGATAGATATAGAGATATAGATATAGATAGATATAGAGATATAGATATATATAGAGATATAGATAGAGATATAGATATAGATAGATATAGATAGATATAGATATAGATATAGATATATAGATAGTGTGTTTTAAATATTGGAGTGACCATTCTTTTTCTTGTGTATTGGTGCAATTATTATGTGTGGTGTGGTTAGTTTGTTTTTATAGCTTGTGATTGTATTACATGTATAAAATACATGAGTTGAAATGGGTGGATAGGGGGAAAGGATTTATGATATATGTTTGCATCCAATCACTGGAGTGAGTGTGTGTGTCCGTCATCAGATGGAGGCACAGGCGGAGGAGCAGACGGCGGAGGCTCAGAAAGAGAGGAAGCTGAGAGAGCGCAGTGAGCAGTTTAGCCGACAGCTGGAGGAGGAGTTGGAAGGGCTTAAAGTAAGATTGCAAACACACACATCAACCCGTCCATCTACAGACTCTCTCTGCACGTCCAAAAGTTCAAAGACATATAGTTCAGACCAGGAATCTGTACTGACACAATTATTGGTCCCTTTGACACTCCTTTATCCATACTAATCTCGGCCACTAAACCTCGCCAACTTTTCTCCATATTCCTGCCACACAGCTGAAGCAGGCCGGCTCCTCTTCCGCCCCTGCCTCCGCAGACCAGACCCAGGAGATGGGACGCCTGCGGGGAGACCTGGAGAAGAAAACGCTCCTGTACGAGGAGGAGTTGGCACGCAGGGAAGCGCAGCATAGCAGCGAGCTGAAGGCCCTGCGCAAGGAGCTGCGGGATGCTGAGAGCCAACACCTCGCCCTGCAGAAAGAGATCCTGATGCTCAAAGACAAGCTGGACAAGACTCGCCGTGAGAGGTATTTTATCCGTTTGTCTTTGTTTCTTTTTCTTTTTATATCTGATCAAGACAAATGTTTGTTCTGTATTGTTGGTGCAGTGCAGGTGTAGTGGAGTTAGTAGTGTTGCTGCACTGTGTCCAGTATCCTGACAGTGATATTCCTTTGTTTTTTTTCATTGTCTTTTCCAGTGATGATTGCTTGAGGTAATTGGAGTTATATTAAAAATAGTCTCTGTCTAGTATAAATGTGTAGTAACTGTGAAGTGCTGTTTGTTTTTTAGAATTTAATAGTTATGTTGCCCCTAGCCTCACCAGAGATAACCCTTTATGCAGGTAACCTGCTTATAGGAGTTCTCAAGTATTTCCATCTCTCCATGTTGACACCCATTTCACAGGAGATGAATGGATATCAAAAGTTTCATTCCAAAGATATCTACTAATCTAATCTATTTCAGAGAACTGGTATTGTTTTGCATTGGCCACTGCCATTCCTTTTAAAATATTATTCTTTTTCATATTTATTTGTGTTGACTTTTTTGGAAAATAAATACTCTTTCTAAGGCTTGAATGAGGGCTGTTGATGTTGACCTCAGTTGGTCATATTCCTGAGCCATAAAAGTTCCAAGCGAAGCAGAAACTGCACTGTTTATGGTCACTTCATTTAGGGTGTATTTCTGAATTAAAACAACATGCTTATAAAACTCTCTTATTGAGACTTTTAGTGGTTTAGTACACTATACTGTAGTTTAGAACAGGGGGGGAAATGGTTGAATTAGTAAAAGAAGATTTTGTCAAAATGTGCCAACTCTGATTAAATACCAAGAAATGAAAAGAAGTAACTAATGTTTCTGCTGCAGACCCACTGGTAGGTACACCGCGGCACTTGATCCCACTTTGAGAACCGCTGGTTTGATCAAATTTTAATAAAATCTTGTTTTTGTGGAGAAAGCTTCAGAGCTTTGTTTTTGTACCCTGTAGCCTAACCCTCCTGCCAGGTGTGACTGACATATTATTCTCACTACTTTCTAATTCATTTTTAAACACACCGCTGTATCAGATTCTAACTGCATTAATGTGTTTGGGTTGAATGATGTGTACCTGGTCTTAGTACCAAGCCTTTGATTTAGGTTTTGAGGAAATGTTTGAATCCAAGGCCCACACATGAACAAAGGTAGGAGGATAGATGAGGCACTGAGAGAGGTTGACTTTGAGATTCGTGAACATTTGATTGTATTTTTATTTGTTTGTTCTTGCATTTTCATGAAACTATAACATTAGATTACCTGATATGTTAGTTTAACGTAGAGTGACCGTCAGTTCAGTTTAGGAAGCTGGAAGGGTGAAAACCAAAATCTCCAAATAAAGTCCTGTTTTTGAAAGACTGAGTTAGAATTCATGCTAAAATGAAAAAGGCAAGAGTCAAGATTGCAATTGCAGCTGTGAATTATGGTTAGGGAATAAATGTATGTTTATACAATATCACAAGTTTAACAATCCGTGTGTGTTTCCTCCAGCCAAAGCGAGCGGGAAGAGTTTGAGACAGAGTACAAGGAGAAGTACGAGAGGGAGAGAGTCCTGCTTACTGAAGAAAATAAGAAGCTGTCCAGTGAACTGGATAAGGTAAAATATTTGTTCCCATATACACAAAATTAAACAAAAATCACTCTGAAAACACTCAAACCAAGTTTAAAACCAGTCAGGTTTTTCTTGCTGTTTTTCAGTCTTTGTTACTCTAAAACACACACACACACACACACACACACACACACACACACACACACACACACACAAAAGAAAACACACACACACAAAAGAAAACACAGTTCTCTAACCCCAGGTAACCCCACTCGGCTGGCCCAAACTCTGTCATCATATTCTGCCCTCCACCCCTCTTTCCCACCATGCCAAAGAAATCACTGTTCAATATCCCCCATAAAAACACCCTGTAGCCTCCTACACAGTCGGATGGAATGAGTCTCTGGATTACGCTCTGTTGACTTTGGAAAAACCTCTTGGAAGTTCAAAAAGGCTCCTAATTTAAACAACGTCTTAGAAGCATTTTGACATATGGAATAAACTGTCAGAGGGTTATTTTTCACGTCTGCAACTGATAAAATAGAGAATATCTCTAAGAAATACAGAGAATATGGATGTGGGTGCCACTAGAATGATAGCACATGTCACTGCAGTTATTTAATGTATTATTCTGTTATTTCACATACTGAAAAATTATATTTTTAAAAGCTAAAGCATTCAGATGGATTAGATCTGTCTGTGTGCAAGTCTTTGCACGAAATAATTCTTCAATACGTTTGGAGTGTGTGAAAATATTATTGTTTGACCGGTCTCATCTTTCAAAGGACGCACTGAATTTCAACATTGTTTGCTTTGTAGCAAAATCAAGCTACTTCACTCTACTGTGTTTTCAGGAAAGGGGAGTTAGCAGGCAGACCTGAAGTTTAATTTTTTGCTGTTGACAAGCTCGGATTGGTGGTGAGTGGCGTAATAATGCAGAAAGACGAGTTCGGCCAACAGTAGTTCAGCCAGACATTGTGAACTTGAACTATTTTACTGCATTTTAATGAATCAGATTCATCATACCCTCTTAACTTCACAAACTTGCCTTACATAGCTCGGATTATTTCGACGAATGCCACCTAATTAATGAGATGTGTGTTCGTGAGATGTGATCATCAGTGTAATTGACACACCCAAATGAGTCTATATGTTCCCGCTCCATTTGCAGGCATTTCACCCAAGAGTAAAAAGAAGAATTACACACTGCAGAGCCTCAGGTCCTGCCGTTGAGAATAAGCGGACGAAAACATAACGCGTTTAGCAGCGTCAGTAGTCGAATTTGGGGACCTGACCTGAAACACATTACTGCAGTTGACAATGCTGAATTCAAATGCTAAAAAACATCTCGTTCAAGTTAAGTGTAAAGCTTGTAATTTCGATATAGGTCAAACTTGTGCATATTGTATTGTAAATGTATTGTGCGAGAGAGGTTTTTATTGTTAAAATGTCAGTAGCCATAAATCAAACCCACCCTCTTTCAAACTATATTCTACAATATCTTTCTGAGGAGGTGTGGTGTCCTGTTATCACCCCAGACTGATGTTACACCTACATTTTGTCAGATATATAATTATTTCATCACTGGGAGCCCACTGCAGAATAATGCCTATAACATTTGTGTCATCCAAAGAGTGACAATAGACAAAAGACGATATTTATATCATCCCACGTTTGTCTGTGTTTATTTCAGCTGCTGACGGCTCAAAGCCTTTTCCACAGCACTGACATTATTTTATGACCTTGACTGTCCTCTCAGACAAACAGTTGTTGGCAACGCGCTACAGGACTGGGAGGCAATTGCAAAACCATACCAAATGACTGTTTTAGCTTGCACATTACATCACACGTCTTGACAGTTGCAAGACACCTAAGAAGTGCCCACAAAGTGAGGTATTTAAGCAAACAGTTTGAGACTTGTAATGATGTCACCATGGTTATGTCAATACACACCTCTCATATTAAAGGATTCAGAAGAAACTTCTGAGATTAACACCCTCCTTGTCTCGATGTAGGTGTGTATATGCGAGTCCGCACACCTCCTTAGCAGCGCTGTAGTCGACTGTGAGCATCTGGGAGTTGAATCATAGAACCTGTCATAAACTTCCACAATACAATGATACATTTTACATATCGTTTTTCAAATGTTATGTCATGGTGTCTATATATAGACAGACACATATACACAGCCTTCTCAAATGTCCTCTTATTTATTTATATATATATATCTCCATTGGCCAGGTGTCTCACTTCCTAATGACAGCTTTACGACTCTCCGCTTTTTAGTATGATGTTTAAGATGATCTATGTGTGTATGTGCTTATTCCCCCAGCTGACCAGCATGTTTGAGAAGATGAGCACCTCTAACAGGCAGCTGGAGGATGAGATGAGGGAGCTGGCTGACAAAAAGGAGAGTGTAGCTCACTGGGAGGCCCAGATCACAGAAATCATCCAATGGTGAGACACACACATACACAGATCACATTCTCTCTCTCACACACACACACAGCAGCCTTCTCAGATGTCATCAATACTTGCTGAGGCATATGCTTTGCCACGGACACTATAGCACAAACTAAAAGACGGCTATATACAGTCTCGCTCATAAAATGCAGTGTTGTCTGGGAGTGTATTGGTTTCCTCCATACTGTATAACTGCGGCATTTCTTACATGCTTCTAAAGACTTTAGAGCTACTTGACCCTCCCTTCCTCTCAGATCACTTCCCTTTGCAGCTGACACCTCGCCAGCTGCTCGGCTTCCTTCTGTTGGTCAAGCCTGCAGTCCTCGCGCGCGCACACACACACACACACACACACACACACACACACATCCAGATGAAGAAAACACACACGCACTCTGTCACATTCCAAACATGCACATACAAATGCTGAGTCTGGAATGCCTTTTTAGAAAAATGGAGTGATTGGCGTTGCCCCCTGGTGGATATGTTTTGCTACTGCAGTGGATAAACCAGGAAATGGCATTGCTTTTTTTTGTTGTTGTTGTTCTGAGGTTTGAATATGAAAATTGTCTACAGCTAAAGTGTAAAGTGTGTGAAAAAATGTATATTTGCGCTCGGGTCAGCTTGAGTTTATGCTTTTAACACAGACAGTGTTTATTCTGGCAGAGAGTTTGGGATTAGAGCTACCTGCAGCCTGAACATGTGCCCATAATGACGTAGAAGTGTGTTTTGAGGTCACACCACCTACAGAGCATACAATGGTGTCAGGTTTTCTTAAGGGTAGTCTTTCCATGATGTGTGTGTAAAAAGGTGGGATTCTTCTAAAATAAGTTAATATGTGATCAAAAGAGTTTTTAGATTCTGTTGTAGGCCTTTTTGGTATTTATGGGTGTGGATGAAAGTAGGTCTTTGGAATGTCGTTGCATGTGTAGTAATGCTGCTATGTGTATTTTGTGTGTGTGTTTGCTGCAGGGTGAGTGATGAGAAGGATGCTCGGGGCTACCTGCAGGCTCTGGCCACGAAGATGACAGAAGAGCTGGAGGGACTGAGAAACACCAGTCTGGGAGCGAGAGCCACGGTAAAATACACACAAATACAAACTGTCTCCTGCTACTGTAAATACTGTTGAGTCAAAAGAAATTGCTCTGTATTCTTTAGATTTAGATAGTGAGTGTAAAATATGAAATCAATAAAATTGCTGCATTATTTTAAGATAGTAAGATGAAGTGTTATTTGGCGTTGTTTTGCATTTAGGATTTCAGTAATATTGACAAACAAGTCTAAATAGATTAGCATTATCACAAGTTCAGTTCTTATCCTGCCTATCTCACATTTCTAATTTGAACTCCATCTTTCAGTGTTGTTACTAACCTTTCCCACATCCGTTTCAGGACATGCCGTGGAAGATGCGGCGCTTCGCCAAGCTGGACATGTCAGCCCGTCTGGAGCTGCAGTCGGCCTTGGACGCTGAGATCAGAGCCAAGCAGAGCATCCAGGATGAACTGAACAAGGTCAAGGCCAACAACATGTCCACAGAATGGTATGGAAACAACAACAGTAAAATAATTCTTTGTTTCTGTGAGTCATGATTTCTGAAAAAAATCTTTAAAAACTTCTGGATAATATTTGATACATCATTGTCTCTGATCCACCAGTAAACTGCAGGATGTGGAAAGTAAAAACCAGGAGCTCCTGGCTGAGATCGACAGGCTTAAGAAAGAGACAGAGGAGCTGCGGCTACGAAGGGGTATGTAAAAATATCTCAGCCGACATTTCAGTTCTCTTGTCACTAAGATGCACAAAGAATGACGTGGTAGTCGTTGCTTTGTGTTAACAGGTTTATTTTTACTCTACTGTGGCCCCTAAAGTGCAAACGGCAAATTGTTGCAGACAAAAAGACACTTTTGTCATTACTATTAATTAATTTCGCAAACACAGTGGTCGTAGAGAACTTCAAATACAAGTTTACATTCTTTCAAAAATATATGGGATAATACTTAAACGTACACTTTCTCTCTGTACATTCCATGCTGATGGTTGAATGAACACTGAAACTTTTCATGAGAGATTATCACTGCAAACAAGGGATAACTACAACCAGGGACCCAAATTAGGAGCTTTTACGTGAGAAGCCATATTTCAGAAATAAAATCATGTGCTATGTACATGAAAATGGATTGTTACTTAGGTCATATGAAACACTCCCTCACTTCTTAGAAACAGCCCTGTGACTCATTTAGTTTAAGTCACCCTTTGATGTTTTAATATCACGTACTTAACCACAATTGTTTTGTTTGTTCTGTGTCTGTAGGTGTCAAGCACCAGGATTCCCAGAATTCCTTCTTGGCTTTTCTCAATGCCCCCACCTCAGCGCTAGACCAGTTTGATGTAAGTATTCAAGACAGAAGTCCTTGCAGGGGTTAATTTAAATACAGCTGATGTGAGCACCCATGTATGTAGCAACTATATCTGTAATTAAAGATTTGAAATCTGTGATCATTACCCACTTGGAAATCACAAATCTCATAAATCTGCATTAAGTTATATCTGTACCTTTTCTTCACGGTTTTACATTGTTTTTTTGTTCACATGAATTTTCCAAGATCTTTATTTTTGTTTTTATCTTCTTGGTTGTTTCCTTGCTTCATTCTCTGGTACATCAGGACTCTTATTCCTCATCCTCATCTTCTTTAATTGAGTTTTGGGAAGACGTAAGTTTCTCTTGGCTAGGCAGAGGTCCATTTGTGTGTATGTAACAGTAGCTGTATACTGTAGGACTTTACTAGCTGAGAAAGACAGTGTAGCTGTATACATATTGCGTCTGTGGGTTTGTGCCTGTGCATCATTGTAACTGTTAAGAAGAGCAGAACCACTGCTAAAAAGTCAGTCCTGTCATTTTAACAAGATCTAAATGTTATATTTCTTCAAAGACAATGGAAATACATGAGGCTAAGTCATTTGCTGCTAGTGCTTATACTTTTGCAGTGTGCTACCCTTGTATTCAGCTGCTTGTTAGTCCCTGTAGACTAGTAGGCTATTTGAATGGCTCTACTTTGGCTTTCTAGTGTTAGAACCTCAAAGTACTCAGTACATTTTTTAAATCCTCAGTTATTTTAGCCAGAAAGAGAACTTGAGTCGTCACTGTGTCTCATTCTGACTTTCCCAGCTTCTCCTTTCCCATCACCATGTGTATTTTTTCCATTTGCAACCATCCATCCTCTCCATCCTCTGTCCTGATTTCAACCCTGGTGGACGTTCAGTAGTCTAATGCAGTGACCCCAACCAAGGAGTACTTGAACCCCATCTGGCATTTTTGAAGTTATCAAATAAAGCTCAACTGATTAACTCAACTAAAATATAGAAATTGTGATTTAATTAAAGAAATGGATCCACATGTTTGTGTTAGATAGATAAATAAACAGCCAAGTAGGATTACAAATTGGTGTTATCTTTAGTAAATTTACAATAACAACAAGTAAGCTTCCCATTTACTCGAGTCAGTTGTAGCACATTAATACTATGTGTTACAATTGAGAGCGCAAAACTTGTAGAGAGCAGGGAAGTTGAAGTATTTAAAAGTAAAAGTAACAGATAAACTATTGTTAGCTAGAAGTAATTGGTAATTGCTAATTATACATTAAACTATTTTGAAATAGTTAGTTTAATGTATAATTAGTTTAAAGTAATGTATAAAAAAATTAAATAGTTAGCTAAAAGTAATCGGGGGATCCGGTTTGAAATAGTTAGTGTTAGTTTAATGTATAGTTAGCTTAAATTCATGGATAAACAGTTGTAATAGTTAGCTACAAGTAATTGGGAAACAATTTTGAAATAGATAGCTTAAAGTATACATAAGCAGGTGGAATAGTTAGCTAAAAGAGGATAAATCACTGTATGTTGGTTATATTAAAAATATTGGAACAGTATCCACTTTGATATAATCAGTAGTGTTAAATACCATCCAGTTTAAAAACCATACATAAGAACATGATGATTGGTGCGGAAGAAGAGGTATTTAAGGTCATCTGACTGTAAGTAGGGGTAACCCTACTTTATCAAACAAAATGGTTGGGGACCGCTGATCTAATGTAATACAGGCTAATGTTACCATTTTCATGTTTCTACCCTCAGTCTGTTTAAATGTATGTTTTCAGCTCTGTTAGACAGACCATTCACTCATCTCTTTGTCTCTGCCACTCTCTGCCTCTCCTGCCACTGAAGCGCTCGCCATCCATTGGCCCAGCTAGCAAAGGCAGACGTGTAAGCACCATCACTGTGCTCTGTGATCTTATTGAGCCTTTGTAAATGTGCTGTCTTTTCCTTGTCGAGTTGATTTTTCATTTGTGTGCACATTTCCTGTGTCTACTGTGGCTGTCTGGTTGCATGGCAGGGATGCTGAAAATTTTTTCGTATTTATGTCGTCAGTGTGTTGGAAAATGTGTTGGGTTTTTCATATTTTATACATGCTGGGTTTTGCTGTGTGCTGCCTCTGTGCATTGGTATCTGTGTGTTTTTTCTTTTTAGTCTTCACTGTAGCTTTGTGAATGGCGATGCATGGTGTATGGTGTACACGCTTGTGGTGTCCCCAATTAGCATGGCCATTGGGCTGTGATGTGTTCCCATGTGTGATAATATGTGGGGTTCAATAAAGTTGTGGTCAGTTCTGCTCTGTAGCTTTGAAAGTCCAGTGGATATGACCACATATCTTGACCACAATCTGTTTTCCATTTGTATATTATGGCATCTGCCCTTTTCTTTAAGCATGGATGCTACATATCTGGTTTGTTTTGTTGAACTAACACTCTTCCCTCTGTCTCTTCCTCCTCATCTTACTTGTCCCTGTGACCTCTCCCACTCCTCTATCCTGCCTCTCTCTCCTCAGGTGGACTCTATGGATAACTTTACCCCCTCCAACACGCCATCCCGGGAAGATGACCCTAAATCCCACCTCAAGTCCCGCTCGCGTTCACCCTCTATGGCTAGTGACGTGGAGCCCATAGAGGTCAGACAATCCCTTAGTCTGGGAAAGAAACAAGTGTTTTTGTATAGAGGCTGTGATCCTAGTACTTTTTAAATGACTGTTGGCAACCTTAAGTTGACAACCACTGCAGCAGTGAAATACAATAGTATTAGTATAGAATCTGGATAGTGGTCGGATGCAATTTCCCATCCTGTTGGTTAGAAAACCTCATCAGGAGCCTCTCTTTAAACCTGGCATCTGTATGTCTGGCATGTCGAGGAACAAGAAAAATGGGTCCAAATATTCCTTGTGCCGATTCAGTTGACAATTGACTTGCTCAGACCAACTCACAATACTTGGCTTGTCAAATAGGTCAGCCCTTGTGAATTGTGAGTAACTCAATTATGAAGAAATGCGAGCACTACAACTGAAAAGAATTAGAGCCCACCAGTAGACTCCAGTCTAAATTGAACTTAGTGTGTTCTCAGACTGTTGTTGAATATGGTTGCTGCAAGTGAATACCAGTGTCCTAATTATGACTGTCTGTCTGTGGTGCTTGTTAACCGTTTTGCAGGTATGCAGATATGACTTGCAAGTTCCTCAAAACAAAAAGTAATAATGGAGTTATCCTGAAACTAGTAGAACGCTATGGATGTGAACAAAACAAGATGCAGTTGCAGGCCATCACCTTGCCCATCGCCTGCTATTCTACTAATATGATCATGTAGAAAAAACACTGTAGACCAGTTTTGATGGTCAAATCCATACAGCCAATAATTTTGTCCCCTCCATTTTCCACTTTATCTCTGACCTTACTCACAGAATGTCTTTCTTGACATTTTCTTCTTGGGAAGTTTTGGCCTATTAACCAAGTTTTATGTCACTCATATATTGGTCACAAACACAGCCAAGAAACAGTGATGTATGTCACTGCTTAATGCTTTTGTTTTTCTGTCATGCAGTTGATAGATCATCCTCCTCGCACAGTCCAGACCCCAACCATGCGCTCAGGAGGGTACGGCAGTATTGGACGCTCCTCACCTAAGGTTAGATGTGTGTGTTTTTTTTAATGTAGGATCACACTTGATTGTTGGGACAGTTTTGCCACAGTAAACATCATGTTATGTTATAGCCACTGATTATGTCTATCTTGCTCATTCATCGCTCCACAGCCCAAAGCACATCAGTTTGTGGTGAAGTCATTCAACACGCCCACAAAGTGCAACCAGTGCACTTCCCTCATGGTGGGGCTCATACGTCAAGGTTGTACCTGTGAAGGTAAGGACAGGAACAGCGGAAGGTGAAGCAAAATAAAAAATCTGTTTTCTGCTAACTCTGATTTAACCGATTGGATCTCTATAAAACACCCAAACCTGTATAATAGTTTTACTTTAATGATTCAGATTTATATTTTCTCATGGTAAAGTTCAACAAATGTCCATGGAACTTAAAGATTGGAAGTACAAAGCTAAGCTACAAAGCTTTGCCTTTTGCCTTCATTGATACTTGACCAGTCAAACCTCTCCTATTTTGTCTCCCTCTGTCTCCATGTCCAGTGTGTAACTTCTCCTGCCATGTAACATGTGCGGACAAAGCTCCAGCTGTGTGTCCCGTGCCTCAGGACCAGACTAAGGGCCCGCTGGGTATTGACCCTCAGAGGGGAATTGGTACCGCTTATGAAGGGCACGTCAGGGTAAGTGAAACTGACAAAGACCTTGGTTGTCTTTGGCCCCAGACAGTGACTCGGTCAATTAAATAGTCTGTTGAAAACAATGCAGATGTTTGCAGACCTTGAGACAAGCCCTGGTTTCTGAGTTGTTTGCGTCATCTTAACTCAAATAAACTTGGCTATCGCTCCCCCTGATTTCTTCCTGAATCCACAAAGAGGAAATCTAGCTTTCGGAGGACATCTGACTTCCAAACTATTTTTATATATGTTTATATAGTTCTGAACTGGCACCTTTACATTTTATAACACTGTAGAAGGTGTTTAACTATGAGCTATTGTACAAGTCCATGCATTATATCACTAAACCATGTCTTTGTGTGTGTTGTAGGTGCCCAAACCGACAGGGGTGAAGAAGGGTTGGCAGAGGGCGATGGCTGTGGTGTGTGACTTCAAACTGTTCCTCTACGAACTGGGAGAAGGAAAAGCCACGCTACCAAGTGTAGTAGTCAGCCAAGTCATAGATATGAGGTAAGAGAAGTAGAGAAACTCCTCTTGGTGACTTCAAATGCTGTACTTACTTTCTTCTAAATATCCTGGTGTTTTGAATCCAAGATAGTTTACTATGTACTTCAAACAAACAATAAAACAAGTAAACTAACTGTAGATATTAGTAAAAGTGATGTGGAACTGCTAGGGCTGCAGCTAATGATTATTTTTATTATTGATTAATATGTGTTATTTTTTAGATGAATTGTTTAGTCTATGAAATATTAAAAAAGGGTGAATTTCTCACGGGGCCGTCTGAAACCTTAAGATATTAGAGTTACTGTTAGATATGACACAGAAAAACAGGAAATCTTCATTAAACTAGATAGTGTTTTGCATTTTTGCTAGAAAAGCATCTGAAAGAATTGATTAACAAATAGTTGCAGATAAATTGTCTTTGCAGCTCTAGGTCATGCATGTCTAACCTTTGATTTCCTGTTGAATCAGGGATGAAGAGTTTTCAGTCAGTTCTGTCCTGGCCTCTGATGTCATCCACGCCAGCCGCAAAGACATCCCCTGTATATTCAGAGTAAGTTCTGTTGATTGTCTGTCACTGAAAGTAAAAAATAAAAAGTGAAATATCGCTTAATACTGTAAAAAATCTAATGTGACCCTTCACCCTGTCCCTCTTCCTTCCTCAGGTGACAGCGTCCCAGCTCTCCCCCTCCAGCAGCCACAAGCCCTCCATCCTGATCCTGGCCGACAGCGATCAGGAGAGGAACAAATGGGTGGGCCTCCTCAACGAGCTCCACCGCATCCTCAAGAAGAACAAGCTCAAGGAGCGCTTCGTCTACGTGCCCAAGGAGGCTTACGACAGCACCCTGCCGCTCATCAAGACAACACAGTCTGCTGCTATCATAGGTGGGCCTTCAGCACTCGCATTCCTGCTCAAAAAGCACAGAGTAGCTTGGCAAAGAGAGTAACTGAACAGGGTAGGGCTATTATAGAAAGCAATTTAAGTATGTCACTGCTAAGCAAGGTCCCAGATTATCTTACAAATAAAAGATCCTTATTTGTGTATTTGCAGTGGAGTGTAGTTGCTCCAGACAGAGCTGTTTTCACAGACTACTGATTAGATCAGAGAAAGTCTCTGAGCCCGGCAGTTTGGTTTCATCATGTTATGAAAATAGAAACTAGCAGATTGGAACATTATTTGAACAGAATGTCCTTTTATGTCCCCTTACTGGCACTGAAATGGCCGCCTTGCTTCATTTGCTTCGCCCTCAGATCACGAGCGTGTCGCCCTGGGCAACGAGGAAGGCCTTTTTGTCATCCATGTCACCAAAGATGGTAAGATCCACACTTTTTTAAAATCTTTGTTCTTGTTGACTTGTTTCATTTGCCGTCTAACGCTGTTTTAAATGTTTTTATTAAAGAGTAGGTATGTTGATGTCACTCCCAAAACGGCCTGTTTCAGTTCCTCTTATCTTCACCACATCTTTTCTCCACTCCCCTTTATCCTTTTATCTGCACTCCTTTCTTCACCCCTGTCTTCTCCCTCCATCCGCAGAGATAATCCGGGTGGGTGACAACAAGAAGGTGCACCACATCGACCTGATCCTACAGGAGCAGCTGCTGGCGGTCATCTCCGGCAGGAACCGCCACGTCCGTCTCTTCCCCACGCAGGCCCTGGACGGCCGCGAGACTGAGTCCTACAAGCTGGCTGAGACAAAGGGCTGCCACAGCATTGTCTCAGGCCCCGTCCGCAACGGCTCGCTCACCTGCCTCTGCGTGGCCATGAAGAGGCAAATCATATGCTACGAGGTGAGAAAACACTAACAGATTTGTTGAATATAGTAGACCTCGTTCTTTTTATCTAGTGGATATTATTTGCTGCTGTAAAAAACAGTTTCCAATTTGTGCTCCTGCACACCAGGTGAACAAGAGTAAAACACGTCACCGTCGGCTGCGAGAGGTGCAGGCCCCGGGGCAAGTTCAGTGGATGGGTCTGCTTAGCGAGCGTCTATATGTAGGATATCAGTCTGGCTTCACCCGCTACAGGTACTCTACCTGTTAATCAACTGACCTACATACAGTGTTTTTTATCCCTGGAATATTAGGTTGTTGTCATGTGTTAATACAAATCCAAAGCTACAATACACTGTTAAAAACGGCGTATTAATGTATTTCATTTCTTATTAAATGACAATCTGAATCTAACAAATCTGACTCTGTTTTCCGATGACCTCCACAGTGTCCATGGTGACATGTCCCCTGTTAACCTCCTCCACCATGAGGACCACACCCTGGCCTTCATCCCGCAGCAGGGCCTGGATGCCCTCTGTGCCGTGGAGATTTCCAGCAAAGAGCTGCTCCTTTGCTTCAGCTCCATAGGAGTATATGTGGACTCCCAGGGCCGCAGGTCCCGTCAGCAGGAGCTGATGTGGCCAGCTGTTCCCATCGCTGCCTGTAAGTGCACTGCATGAATGAATGTTCATTTTTATGGTTATAAAACATGCAGGTTAAAAAACACAATGTCATGAGTCACATCCCCTCACCAGGGACAGTTATAACAGTATAGTCACTGTATTCACCATGTGCATGTCTACTGTATAACTTACCATGAGATCATATTATAACAAATGAACAAAGTCTGTCAGAAAGACAAAATGAAAGGTATGTTTGTTTTTTTAATACGTTAAATGCATCTGTTGTGTGTTTAGTGTAATGCACATCATGATGAAACATTAACCATAGGAACATACATCTAGTTTAAAGAGTCCTGACCATAGAAAGGGACTAAACTGTACCAAAGACTCACTATACAACTCGTGTTTGTTTCTGTTCAGGCTACAACGCCCCCTACCTGTCAGTGTACAGTGAGAACGCTGTTGATGTGTTTGATGTCAACACCATGGAGTGGATTCAGACCATCCCTCTCAAGAAGGTCAGTGCAGGGGACTGCGGCCTGTTGTGAATATGACATGATGAAGCCTCAGCAGCAAGGGAGTGTCAAGTAAATTAGACAGGTGGAGGCATCTCTGGCTCCACCTGGTGGATTAGATGAATTCATCTCTGCTCCTGTCACCATAGTAATCTGATCTCATTCTTCTTCCTGCCACATTAACAAACCAGATTTTGAAATTTCCTTTACTTCAGATTTTACATTATAAAGTACATTTCTAGAATAAAACGGATGATTACTGGTCAGAAATTATTTATTGCAAATTGATTAATTCTCTTCTTCCCCTTCAGGTGCGACCTCTGAACGTTGACGGCTCTCTGAACCTGCTGGGACTGGAAACAGTCCGGCTTATCTACTTTAGAAACAAGATGGCCGGTAAGAATTTACAAGTGTATTGTGTGAAGCTTCACATGGCTAAAAACTACAAACATGTCAAGGATGACACAATAAAGTCTAGGATTTATTCTTTTGTGATATGAAAAGTAAAACGTTTCCAGCTGCTGATAGAGGCAGTTGTCATTGCAAAACTCTTTAGTTGATGGGCAACTGTAGAAAATTGAACTATTTTAAGCAGTTTTGTCACTGTGTAATAAAATATCTGTCTTGTATAATATATTTTGTAGAACAAAAGCAACTTCAGTAACAGTAGAAAGTTTGACGTGTCACTCTCAGCCACCAAAGTAAATTCACAACTTGGAGTGTTTAATGTAAACACGCCCGTGGCTTTGTTGTGATCTTCCAGAGGGTGATGAGCTGGTTGTCCCGGAGACGTCAGACAACAGCAGGAAGCAGATGGTGCGCAGCATGAACAACAAGAGACGCTTCTCCTTCAGGGTGCCTGAGGAGGAACGACTTCAGCAGAGGAGGTAGTTTACCTGCAGCGCGAGGACTGCAACAAAATGTGCAAACTGTTGAGAGTAGAAACTAATAAAACAATGTAGTCAGCATTGAAAACATCTGCCTTCTCGCTAAGGAACACCAATACAAAACCTTTATTGCATGTTGAAGATGTTTGACAGCAAACCATTCACAGCAACACTGTGCCCGTTGCCCATAAGGTAGAATTCATTTTAATGGAGGAAAGTACTCACTGAGTACTGAGTTTTCCATGTGTGTTTGTGATTCCAGAGAGATGCTGCGAGATCCAGAGATGAGGAACAAGCTGATCTCCAACCCCACCAACTTCAACCACGTGGCCCACATGGGACCAGGAGACGGGATCCAGATCCTTAAAGACCTGCCCATGGTACATCTACACACACATTACACACACACATACACACTTTCATAAATACATATAGGTGCACACGCAGCTTCCTTAAAGACTGGCAAACACAGGCATGTACTGGGAAAAACACATGAAATAAGCACATTTATACACACAAACATATAAAAACAAACACAGTAGGACTGTTTAAGATGCGTGTGTGTGTGTGTGCAGACGTGCTTCCACAGAACCCTGTCCTTTATCCTTTGATGTCTGCTGTAGCATGCCAACACTCTGGGATTTGAGCAGAGAAAGTTGCACAATTTTCAATTTATTCCATATTTTGTAAACTAACCTGAGAGGCCTAGTTGGATCATGTAATGATCCTCCTCTCCCTCATGCTTTTTTAATCCTCCAAAGTTCAGGTTGTGTGTTTATGGAGACCGAGCATGCTTGTCTATTTGTCTATCTGCCCAAACCTCAATCACATACGGGCCACATTTGTGTTGAGTTGTCTGAGCATGTAACGTTTATAGCTGCACCCTCCTCACTCCTGTCCCCCGCACTGCACTCTGTCTCGTGTGTGTGTGTGTGTGTGTGTGTGTGTGTGTGCGCGCGCTCTGTTGTGTGTTTAAACCAGAACGTCCGTGTTCAGGAGAGCCGCGCGGGCTTCAGTGGTTCAGTCAGCATCCCCTCCATCACCAAGAACCGGGCCGAGCCGGGCCGTTCCATGAGCGCCAGCAGCGGACTGGGCATACGTGAGTAACAGCAGCCCTTAAACTCTGTCAGATCCAGAGCCGCTTTAGTGGCAGGATGGACCTTTTCCAAGTGGCTACGTGCTTGGTGCTGTCCCCTGACTCCCTCCACTCGTCCTCCTCTCTCTCTCTCTCCAGGCTCATCCTCCCAGAATGGCAGCGCTCTGCGCAGAGAGATGTCAGGGGGAAGCTACGGATCCAAGCGGCAGACCATGACCTCTCCCTCTGAGAGCTCCCTGTCCTCTGGCGGAGGCATGGACTGTGGCGATGCTCCGCTCTCCCAGTTTGACAGAGAGGTCAGTGAATACATTGAAACTGAACATACAGCTTCATGTGCGGTTGACTGTAAAGACTGCTGTAAAATACTGTCTCTGTAAGAGAGGACTGCGAGTTTGGCGTAGTCGGCCTAAACAACTAAGCTTGTCTTGATTGTATAGTTTAGTTTCTACTAACAAATCAGGGCACAGATTGTTTTACAGCCACTTTATAGATCCGAGTACAGAATTAATGTCAACCCAGCATCAGCTTTGTATGAACAAGTCCAAATGCAGATGATTGTTTCCTTGCCATGCGATTGTAGAAGCTGGATCAAATATTTGAAAAACCCGATCACATTGTTCCCCATTGAAAGAACTCCTCCCTCTGTCCCATCTGTCACAAACATCCCGGCCTCTGGGTGCAGGCCTCTCACCTCATCCCACTTCTCTGATTGGTTAGCTCCCAGTGATGTCAGCGCTTTGTAGTCAGATCAATGAGGTCTCTCCCACTACAGACTGTTAGTGCCTTACCCCTAAACACGGTGACACTGACTAATGTTTATTATATCCCTTTAACACATCTTTAACTTGAGTCAGGCAGTGGTGACGTTTTGTCTCAATCATCACCTGTGTCGATTCATGTTCATAAAACATAGCGACCCCGCAGCGTTGGTTGTGGAATGCCCCTCACAAACTTAGGATCAAACATTAACTGCAGTAGCTTTTGCGGTTTTGGGCAACTTCTTCCCCTATTCCATCCACTCACCCCCAAACCGCCTACCATCCTCCCTGTGGTTCCTCATCCTCATGGCCCATAAGCCTGGATGCCGTCGGCTTCCATTTTTGCCCCATTCCTCGCCTCCCTTCACCCTCACCCAGCTGTGCCTCGCCCCCCCCCCCCCCCACCCCAGCATGTTGTCTGTGGGCTGGGCGCTGAGTCTGAACTCTCCTCTGCAGTGGCAGGCAGTCTCACCATCGGAGAAGACCCCCGATCTGAAAAGGGCTTTAAGGACCCTGCTTAGTAAGATGAAGGTAATGTCAACAGCTGCAACGACTGCACCAAACACACAACTGAGAGCACTGTGACACTGAATAAGCACCCACATGCAGAACACAGTGTATTGTTTACGAGCAAACACATTAGCATGAGGTGCATTTAGAACACAAATACAATCGCACGTTGTTACCGAACCTTTGGCCGCCCCACAGCCCCTCGCTGCACCATTCCAGCCCCGCCATGTCGGCAGCCTCTGATGGCTTGTCACATCTGTCACTGGAGCATCAGCTGCTGCACCATCAGTCAGTCCCTCACCCGGCCTGTATCATTTTTGGCTGCTGATTAAATGGTGCAACGCTGCTCAGCCATTTTGCATCCTTCTTCCTACCGCTGCCAACCCAGCCAATCACAAAGCATGTCTGCTTCCACACAGCTCCCTGACAGCCTGCCCATGTTTCTAAAAACCAGGCCGGAGGGATCTATAATAATAATGATAAGTACGCTGTGTAGTCGGTTCAACCAGGGCCCTGCAGGAGATTACTCTTTCTGAAACGATCAAATAAATCACCTGACAACATGATTGATTATAAATTGGATGGAATGCAGCTGCACGGTTTGGAGTGAATTCTGACGCACATCTCTGGTTGAAATTACAGTTACTGATAAATATGGGTGGAAAGGCTGAGTGCTTTTAAACATAAGGTCACATAGACAAAGATATATATATATACACAATGTAGCTGGGCAGAGCTCCTCCCAATACACAAACTCTGCAGGAGTGTTATACATCGTCGGCTTTAAAGAGCCAGCGTATGAAAAGACACACAGCTGCCCAGCTACATTGAGTCCTGTGTGTGAAAGGCTCCTGTGTGTGCGCGCCGCATCACAAGGTGTGAATGTGTGATGTTCACAGTTTCACTGTAGACAGTAGAAATGAGAGCGTAGGATGAGTGTGCTTATAGGTCAAACATGTTTGTGCACGTTTAGATTGGAGCCAAACCGAAGACGACTGTTGTGCACTCAACTGAAAAATGTGTAATCATACAGCGCATGAGATAATTATAAATCCCCTAACCTGAGGACATTATCACTGAAGTGGAAAGAAAACCACAAATACTAAACCACACACGTCCTGTGTTTGGACCAAACTCTCTCTTCTACAGTGCTCTGCTTGTTTGAAAGGGAAGGCGTGGCAGGCACCATGTCTTTTATTTTGGATTAAACTTCCTCACATAGGGGCGATGCAAGCCAGTATGAAGGTTTAACCCAAACCCCCCCCACCCCCCCACCCCCTCACTCCTCCTCATGTGGCCTGCCTGCATGTTTGTTTTCCTTCAGCTGATCATTTCTGGTCAGTTGAGCTGTTCATCTGCTGATGATGCGGAATGTAGTGGAAGACGAGGTGGGAGTGGGAGCAATGTGATGCAGTCTGACTTTACATCTGTCCTCCGTCCCAAACAGCAGATTAATTATAAGCAGAGAGAAACGTCCTTTGTAAGTATGCATGCCTACCAAGCGCAGAGCAGTGAGTCATCATCGGACAGTCCAGATAGAAGCAGTCATTTAAAAATATATAGTTACTTTTATTTTATCCCTATATCAGCCCCCAGACAGAAACATGGTCTTCACTCTCCTGAATCTGATTTATAAGTACTGTAATGTTTGTCATAAGGTAGTTACATCATCTAATTTATGTATTTTCACCTCACCCCTTTTATTTTTTCTCCACCCCCAAACTTCCCTCTTTCTTTATTTGCTTCCTGACCTCTCCTACCCTCCTCCAGGACTCGGACTCTCCCCGTCACTCCACGGCCTCCAACAGCTCCACCTTCAGCAGCCCTCCCAGTCCGGCCTCCCCACACAAGACCAAGTCCCTGTCCCTGGAGAGCACAGACCCGATGGGCTGGGACACATGAGCCTCCGGCAGCCTCTCGCCCGCCCATCCCCAACCGACCGACTGCCGACTGACCGACCAACAGCACAGGACTCCAAACCCTCCTCTTCCTCCTCCACCGCAGCCTCTCACATCCTTTCTGAATACTTCCCCTCACTGCCCAGAGAACTGCACCTCCTGATGAACATTTGTCCCCCTTTACGGCGTCAATTTGTCTCCCGTCGTTCTTCCAAGACGGGGCAGAAACACTAAAGAGTCTGCCGTCTCTTTGAGGGAGAAGTTATCAAGAGTTAGTGGTAGTGTCCATGTGGGTGCTGATGTTTGAGGGTGCAAATGTGTGTATGTGTGCGCGCTTGCCAGCGTGTGTGCATGTGTTTATTCAGAAAGGGCATATGATATAGGAATGACGACCCCCCCCCCCCCTGTTTTTTGCTATCAACCGAAGCTTCGAGCTTCGCCGACACTACTCTGTCCACCGCTCACCCCGATTCATTGAGAGACTCTGAAACCTCACAATGCAACAAAAAGAGAAGAGGATTATTATTGAGAGAAAATGATTTGTACTTGTACATAGGACCCTTTCGGTTTTAGGGGACAATATTTTAATTTATTTATCAATCTTAGACAAGGAGAGGGAGGTTTTGCTTCATGGCCTGAATCAGACGGATGGAGTTTAAACCTCTCCTCACTTCCCTCATTTGCTTTCTCTTTGGGTGCTGAAAAAAAATTTAAAATGTGAAAGGAAAAAAAAAAAAAGTGAGCGAGAAAGGAAAGCAATGAATATTTTTTTTTTTTTGCTCATACTAAGATACTAAGTGCAGTGACTTTATCATATTTTTTTATTTTGACCATCAGCGAAAGCTACATGCAGCGATAATAATGCCGGCTCATATGACATCATCACAGCTCCTCTGTGCTACTCTCTTCCTCATTGGTTCAGCGCAAGTGACATCACCCAGCCAAAACCCGGACGTGTCCTCCGCTGTAGTGTAGTCGCTCCACTTAGCTGTACAACCAAACCGACCAACTCACAGGTTCCCATCACAATAATGTACATAGGTTCAAAGTAGAGAGTAATATATGATAAGGAAAATACTATAGAGAACTACACAGGAAAGGAAAAAAAATCCTCTTTGACTTTTATTTTTTTTTTATTTTGAGTGATTTGGGGTTGTATTCACACAAAAAGCCATTTTAAACCACTTTCCAGTTTTCTTTTTTTTACCAATTGATTTTAAATTTGTTTGTTTTATATTGTATGTATGACACGCGTTGTGTTAAATTTTTTTTTTCTCCCCCCACTGTTTGCGTTTGAGTGACGAAAACCCTCATATGGATCGACGCTACTTGCCCATACTGTAGAGTGAACGCGTGCATTTATCACAAACCTCCTATTACACATTTATCTGCGCACACACATACTGAGGGTGGTGTTTTTTTTATGCCTTGTCCTGCTCCTCCTCCTGACTGTTAGAGGAGAAGTGGCTCCGATCATTTAATCAACAGCTAATGTGTGTTTCTAAATTCACTGTGGTACCCGGATGGAGAGGACCAGTCCTTCCACTGAGCTTGATTTAACCAAAAATGGACAAAAAAGGGGGGACTTTGTGACTTAGTGTTGTGCTTCTGACAGAAAGTTGTGTTGATCTGTTCAAAGCGACATTTGTATGAGCTCTTGATTTCAAAAAAGGAAAAAGACACTAATATGAGAATGTAAACACAAGCTGCAAGAAAGTCAGCACTTGGTTCCCGTTAATCTTGATACACTACAGTTAAAATAACCTCAGTAAAATTAACAGGGCTGGAGCACTAACCCCCCCTTCTCTAGGCGGGTTTTCTTTGGCAGAGTGGAAAGGCCTTTGAAAGAGCATTTTATGGTGTTGCAGCTCCTGGCTGCAGAGCAGGGCATTCACAGCCAAAAACCTGTTACCTCTGTTCATCTCCTTCAGTTTACAGACAGATTGAAGGGCATTTTACTTGAGGAATCGCTCAAACTATGTGCACGGAGCTGAGAACTGTCCTCACGTTAAATACTAACTAATGTATAATAACAACGCACATCCTGTACTTATACTGGCCTGTTGTCGGTGATGGGATGAGTGTACAGTAAAGTGTCCTGGGTCACAATCATCCAGTTTATTCCGCTTGTCTTGTTTGTTAGAAAGGGAAACAAAAACAAGTACTTTAGTGGTCATTCCTGCCTGTTGAAACACAACAAAGTAGCTCTAAACAACCCATTCCAAGTGTTTTTTTTGTTTGTTTTTTTGTATTCCGTTTTATATGAAGAGAGAGGGAGAGGTGTGGAGTGCCACAGCGCGACTAAGCTGGTTTTATTCCAAACAGTCACCTCTTAGAAATGTTTTAAGCGAGTGAGTGTCCTTACTTCCTGCTGGAGTTTCTGTAGAATGTATTAGATTTGGAGAGGAAACTGTCTCAGCCAGGTGTTTTATTATTGGCCAATATTGTACAGATAAACTGACCCTAGATGTCCCAGTTTAAGGAGCGGGGGAAGAGAAACTCAGGAAATGTCAGAACCAATGAATTCTTTTCATTTAGATGGAAATGTTTGTTAGAGGTTTGATGGGTGGCTGGAGTGAGTGAGGGAGAGGAGTGTGGCTGTGGTGTACAGTAGATGTGACCCGGGTGGAGACAGCAGGGAGAAAAGGTGGCGAGGACTAGACGATGTAAAGCGATGTTTTCAGGGGTGAAGGGTGAAAGGTGCTTTGATGGTTGAGGTGCCACAGTGGTAACATTTGAGAGGAAGATCTAAAATAAAACTATTCAAACGCCTTTGCATTTCAGTGAGGTCTTATCTACAGTACCTTCTATATTATTTTGCTCTTTCATATCATATTACTTTGTTGTTTTTTTTTTTTCTAGGATTGCTTTGTAATAATTTGTACAGTTTTGCATGTTATAGATGTAATCATTTTGTTTTCGGTTTGTTTTACTTGGACTTGCTCCTTTTTGAACGGTTTGGGTGTTTTACTGAGGATAACCCACTACAGGTGATGTAGATTCTTTTTTGCACAAAAAATATTTAAGGTGTAAGGTCAAAACAAAATGTATGGAACTGGCTGCCACACTTATGTGGAGAACTCATATTAACCTGACTCCGATGTATTTCAATAAAGCGGAGGGCTGTTACAAATACAACCCCAGTGTGTTACTGTGTGGTCATTACTTCAGAGAAATATCCTGTGACCATTCTTTAAAAAAAACTTTTATTACAAAAGAACAAAAAAAGTTCAGTTTTAACATCTATGCACAAGTTTCGCCACTAGAGGAAGTGTTTGTCTACCGTTTCACAGTAGCTTACAGTAAGGACACATTTTAAAAAGGGACAAACTACTTGCAATTTGACTCTAATGGAAGGGCACAACTATTCACACTGTAATGATGTGTTCAGACAGAAAGCAAAGTGAATTGCCGTAGCTGTACGCTCACTAGCAGCGTTCAGCTTAGTCTGACTGAACCAGGAGCTCCAGTTCTGTCTCTTTTCTCGTTTATGATGCAGAATCAAATCCCTGGTATACGTTCGGAATTGAAACTTTTTCAACTTTCTATTGACTTTGTATATCATCATGCTGCCTGTCAAGTTCTCTTAGCATTCTGTCTGAACACACATAAGGCAGGAGTTTGGATTCAGCTTTTTTCCTGTATTTCAGCCCTTGCATTCTGGCATCCAGTCATTTTGTTCAGGAGAGCTTTTGTAGAGACTGCTTCACAAAGGTGGTTTGTTACCTTTCATGTGGAGTTTGGGTGTGAAAGAAATCGCCTTTTATAAATAGGGTGAAAAGCTGAAGAGGTGCAAAATTCAAATGTAGCAGGTAAACCTAAAAGAAATCCTGCTTTCGTCCCGAGCTAAAAAGCAGACTAGAAGAGAGAGCCTGTAAAGTCTTATCATCAAGATCCTGATCAGAGTCCTTTATACAAACAAGTACAGCACAAGTTATAATAAAAACAACTATCCAGTGCAGTCCGTCAGTGTTGGTCACATGGCTGGCTCAGTAATGTAGTCCAACAGTGAAGTCTTGCTGTCATTTTCCAGCATTTGCTATCCACAGGTCACAATCAGTACTACAGAATCCATCTTGGTTTTGTAAACTGGACAAACATTATTCTGAACTTCAGTTTTTGGGATCAGCTTGAAGGTCGAGTGAAGCTGAGAGGATGTTTTAAGGCATCAGTCCACCATCGGTCCTCTTAATTTGGCTGGATGTAGCCTCGTTGTAGCTAACTTCATCAGTAAACTGGAGCTTTAGTTTTTGCTTCAGCTGAGCTCCCAGATTCACCAGGAGTGGATCCCACAGTGTATCCTGTCCAGCTTACTGTGGATCCTCACACATTCTTCACCTTTCTAGAAAATGAAAGAAGTCATCTTTCCTACTTTCATCTACCCATCCTGTCACATCTTCTGAAGTATCCGGGTAAACCAGATTACAGTTCGCTGCCTGTTCAGGCTGTAGCGCCGTCCTCCTCCATGACCCTGTGGATCCCGTTTCCAGGGACCCCAAGAACTGCTTGGGTGCCGCTGCTAAGGTCCCGGATGCTGCTGTGCCGCGAGTGGCTCTCTAGTCGCTGGGTGGAGCCATGCCGTGATAGGCTGTCCAGGCGATTGGTGCTACAGTGTCTGGACTGCGATTGGTCGTTGAGGCGGGGCATGCTCCCGTAGGGCAGCCGGTCGTCTATGGCCCGGAAACTGGAGGCTGTATATCTGGGATGAAGAAAACCACCAAACACAAGCATCAGGAGCCGGACTGATGAATTGATGAATGCAGCACAGACCCAAAGACACACGAGCGCTGTGGCCACATCTGAAAGATACGAGAGCTCAGACCCACCTGCCGTCTCGGGAGCGGTGCAAGCTGCCGTGGTAGCTGCTCATCTTGGAGCGTGCGCTGCGGACCGAGCCAGCCCGGCTGGTGCTGGCGCTGGGCGGTTCATCCAGCATGGCCAGGTGGGTAGATGAGGCGTGGGTGGAGGTCCCCTGGGTGGACGTGCCCCGTGACTTCCTGACGATAGGCGTGTTGGGGTCCCTGAGCAGCAGCTGGGTGAAGTCGGGCTCCTGGAGCACCTGTCGGCTCTCATTGACCATCGCGCTGCAGCGGGGGAGGGACGGGGACGGGGAGGGGGTGGAGCATGAGGAAGTGGAAGAGGAGGAGGGGAGTGGAGGCAGGGAGAGGCGCAGGAGGGAGGGGAGAGAGAGGGGGAAGGTAGTGGGGTGGTGGGGATGGTAGAAGAGGATGGAGGAGTGGGTGGAGCAGGCGGTGGGAGAGGAGGTTAATGCTCTGAGTTTGGAGGGGAGGGGAGTGAGTGCAGAGAAGGGCCTGTGTTCACCAGCAAGCCACACACACATCTACACACACACACACACAAAGTGCTACAGCTAAACTCGTTTTAACACAGACTGAGCTGGAGGCACCTGAAGACGTTTGTTGGATCTCCCCCAGCAGAGACTGAACTCCCTGAAAGCAACACCATGTGTATCATGTGTGTCTCCTCATTTGTCGGCGCTTAAAGTGACAGAAAATATACACACAATTTGAATATCTCCAGTGACCCTGTTCAATATTTTTTCTTTCACGTCTAATAAAGAGAATAACGTCTGTTTTTACAAAGAAGTCAGGAAAGTGTTGAACCTGAGACAGTGCTGACATTAGGTCCATTTATTATCAGTGTAAAAGGAAAGAAGAGGATATATTGAGTCTGTCTGACATGTGATCTGTGTTAGCTGAGACCAAACAAACAGTTTACAGTCACTGTTTCTCACCAAATAAGAAGTGTGTCTTTCATGGTGACCTACTCTACTCAAAAACTCTGTGTGCCTTTAAATGATTTCATTGTCATATATCAGTAGTGGTGCTATGGTATATGCTGTATTACTGTATATACCATAGTAACTAAGCAGTTACTCGATGTTATTCAGAAATAAATGAATGGTAAATTATTAAAACTGATTCAATGACATACCTACTAATTTACAGTAACTGTCTACACATTGTATTTACTTTTTATTGAAATACTTTGTTGCACACTATTCTTTTTTGCCATTAACTGGTTAAAATTGTTGTTACTCCCAACAGTATCTGAGCTAAATCTGCAATAAAGGCTGTACACTAAAATAAATGAAAAATTTTAATCCACTGCCATTTTCTCTTAATTGAATTGTCTCTACAAAGAACTGAAATGCTTTGCATGCTGCTTGAGTTAAAAATACTGGGAAAATACCTTTTAAAGAGAGTTTGTCACTAAAATGTTCAGCATCAAATATTTAAAACCAATTTCTGTAAAGCTGTGGCAGCAGAGTGGACGGCGTAGTGATGGAAAACATCGTGAAAACACCGCCGGTGTGTAGAAAGTACGTACTCTTTGCGTCTCTTGCCGTGGAAGAAGCTGGCCCACTCGAAGCAGGTCTTCTTACTGCCCACCCAGAACACAGAGGGGATTCCTACGATCAGCATCATCAGGTACTTGATCAGGAACAAGGCGAGGTCAGGACGACTGGTTTGCTCCACCTACACGACACACACACAGGATATGTTTATTGTTTGGGGGGTGTGTGAAAAACTGATCAGTCGCTGTCAGTGAGTGTGTTTGGTAGACTTGCGAGGATGCAGAGAGAGAATAAGAGATACTCTGTATGGCTTCAGGGTAGGAGTGAGTGTGGCGGAGAGCTTGTTCAGGGGAGGGCAATCACATTCCATTTCCAACCCAAGATTGAACCATAGCATTGCTAATGTCAAAGTAGAATTATATCCAGAAATCTACGAAAATACGCTGAAAACACAGAACAGCAGACGGTGTGGACGCTGCACTAGAAGGAATCAGTGATGTACTTCCACTGAGTCGGGCATGTAAACAGCAGCACTAATTAAAAGCTTCACGCCTGCTGACAGCGGTGTGTGTTGTGTGTCCATCCACAATTAGACGGTCAGCAGTTCGATTCCCTCCTCCAGTCTGCAGAAGTGTCCTTGGGCAACATACTGAACCCGGTGAGAGGGTAAATGGAATACGTTTCTGAAGGTGCAGAATTTTTACGTTTTGTGAAGGAGCAACACATGTGACTTGTCTAATGGTTGATCATATGTGTGGATAAAGAGTGAATAAATGTTTTTGGGGGCGATGAGGTAAAGAGAAACAAGAAATAAGAGACAAGAGCAGGAAGACGCTGTGCCGAGTCTCCACACCGCTGCTTTCCGTCATAGCAACAGCACTACACAGAAACACTACCTCCCAGCCTCTCTTTCTGCCTCTCGTATGTACACACACACAGATGTAGTCATGATGACCTCATTATGAGTGGGCCAGGCTGAGAGCCCCGAGGCTCAGCGATCCACAGATACACTCATTACAGCGGAGCGATAAGAGACTGAATGACTACAGCCAACATCCTCATTAGTGCCTGTATGTCTAAAGTTGTGCTGCAGCTTAAGGCTCCAATATCAAACCCAGTGGCCAAATAGTTGCATGTAGTTTATTCAAGCCTAGCCTATTATTAGCGGTAAGACTGGACACAGCCTACTTCTCCTCTTCCTCTGACCAATCTCACGTGGCTCGAGTCAGTCACCGCTGTGTGCTGTGGAGAGGAAGAGCCGAGCAGAGTGGAGGTCCGAGCCTCAGGGAGGGCTTTTAAGATAAATATAGTAAGGCATTTTGAGTCTAAGCTATCTATTGACACTATGTTATTGACTTTGTGTGTGTGTGAATGCATACTATACGTGTGTGCGCTTTCATGAACATAGTGGGGTTGGGGGGGGGGTGGTTGGATCTTTGTGTGATTTCACACCTGGAAGCATCTGTACAGTACGCTGTACAGTGTGCAGCGCTCATGCAGCGTGTGTTCAGATGTGCTGCAACTATGATGTGGTGCAGCTCGACCCCACTGACCTCTCACACAATGCAGTGTTTACGTGACAGATTAAGAGAACGACTCTGACCTTACTCAATGCTCTCTGGACTCAAGCATCTCTTCCCACAGCTGTAACTCTGTCATTACAGACCGCGTTTTTGCGGTTGTAGCTGCTAAACTTTGAAACAGCCTTCCACCTTTACATCAAAACTCATTTCTGTAGGTTAACCTTTTTATAAATCCTCATTTGCCTTTTAATCTTTGTCTATTTATCATGCATATGTACTTCCCGTGTGTATATATGTCTGCTTGTATATGTGGATTTTTTCCTTTATGTAAAATTACTTTACTTAGTGTTATAAGTGCTATATAAATAAAAATTACAACTGTTTCAGGTAAAAGGAGTTTACCTGCGTCGCTACTTCTGCAAACACATGAAACCTAATGTCATCACCCATTTTTACCCTAGTTAATCTGAGAGCCAGATTATTCTATCATATAAAATACAATTCAAGAGCAGCGACTATTTCTGCTACAGAAAACTGACTCCCTGATAAGGTGGGACTTAAACATGACAAAACAGCACACACGTAAGCTAATTTTCTGCACCACTGCAGAGAGCAGTTTGAATTATTAACAGCTTTGTCAGGTGAGATGCAGTGCGTGTACTGATGCTGGAGGCCTCTGCAGCTCTGGGAAGCAACTGAGCTGCTGACGACGAGCAGCAGTAGAGTTATCGCTCGATTGTCTCGCATATGACCGCGAGAGCCAGTGTGTGTGCACTTTGGCCTGTGTTGGACATTGTGTTTAAATGCACACAGCATCCAGTCATATTCAGGACACACAATCTCACAGAGCATCTTCCTAACACATCTGGTTATCTGCCGTCTCCCAGCTGTTCCCTCCTGCTCTGTCTTCTAGCTTCCTTGCAAAAGTCCCAGTTGTACATCTAATGAGCGCGAACATCTGCGCAAACTATGATGAACGTCAGTGAATGAACGCATCAGTATCTCAGCCACTATCAGTACCTCCAAGTGACTACATATGGGTTTCTTAAGTGGTAGTGAGGGTTCATCTGGGTTTTTCTGGATTATGGGATATTATGTTTGCATACAATAACACCAATATTTTATATTGCATTAATTGGTTACATGCAACGAGGTAGAATCTAAATGTTACAGGTGCTACATGTCTGTGTTGCAAATGAATATTTTAAGTTTCCTTCTATCAAAAAGGAGAGTTAGTTACTCGTTCTCCATCACTACTGTGCATTTCCTTTAAAGAAGACAGTAAGATCTGATGGCAGCACCAGGTGACAGCAAATACGCATGCTTAGCTATTTTTTGTCTGGAACAAAGAAACTAAAAATATATATTTATAGATTTGTGCCTTAAGTGGATTTAAAAAAAAAAAACTCAAATTATATTTTGTCTTATTCAAGACCAGTGCAGGCTGCAAATGACTAATGATTACTGTTAAAACACAACACAGAGCTCCTTTAGCGTAAAGTCAGGTCAGAGTCCGGTGTATTACCTGGTAGGGGCAGGGGATGTGGTAGTCCCTACACTTCTCCTGGACCCAGGTCGTCTCCCAGATGCCTCTGTAGCTGTTCTCATAAAGGTAGCAGGCCAGAACGGCCAGCAGAGGGACCAGGTAGAGCACGGAGAACACGCCAATACGAATCATGAACTTCACTAGTTTCTCCTGATTCTCCTTCTCCAGTGGGATCTCCATGCGGACTCGGTTTAGTGCTGCTATGCCTGCCAGCAGCAGAGCCACACCCACCTGGGATGATACGACAGAGGGATGGAGTTATGGTTTTTCAGTCATCAGTATTAAAAGTGTAAAGTAGACAGTACTGTATGTTTTTACAGTAGCTCTTGTTCTGTAATACTCTTCCTCACCACTACGTCCAATCCCAGCGGGGCCAGCAGGAACCAGCGCAGGGCCGTCATGTTGTACAGCCCTACAAAGCAAACACCACTGACACTGTCTCCCTCGATCTTGTTCATGGCGAGCAGGGTAACTGTGAGGACACCAGGGATGCCCCAGGCACAGGCGTGGAAGAGGAGAGCCTTCTTCTCTATTGCCTCACTGCCCCACTTGGGAACAGCAGCCAGGAACCAGGTGATGGTCAGAATGACCCACCAGACACTGCCGGCCATGGTGAAGAAATACAGCACCATGAAGAGAAGGGTGCAGGCCTGGGACAGAGATAGAATGTACAGGTGGAGGATCAATACAAACATCTTGACAGTACAAAACCAGCACAAAATACAGTCAAGGAAATACTTTCTTACCTTGTTATGGGAGCCTTGAGTCACAGTTGAAGCCCTAAACCTCCCAGGACTCGCTGCGTTACAGGAAACTTTGTCCTCCAACAGAAACCCCAGGAAGAACACCAGCGACACCATCATGTAGCACACGGCATAGAATATAATTGGACGCTCTGGGTAGCGGAAGCGCGACACATCGATGAGGAATGTCAGGAAGGTGAAGAGGGTGGCGGACAGACAGACGATGGACACCACCCCGATGAAGTAGCGGGCAAACGCCAGCTCCTCGCGTGTGAAGTACATGTTGGGACAGGGGGGAGAGCAGTCGCGGACCCCCATGAAGGAGTAGCCGAGCTCGGGGTCGATTTTGAGTTCTCTTGGACACCAGAAGCCGTAGTCTCGCTGGACGGAGACGGGGGTTTCGGTTGTGTCCGAGCTGGACAGGAGGTCTACAGGACGGGGGTATTGCTCGTCACAGTCTGGGAACCTGCGAGGAGATGAGGGCTGTCAAGCTTCTAACAACAGATTACATATATTGCCAACATTATACAGTGCCTTGCGAAAGTATTCGGCCCCCTTGAACTTTTCGACCTTTTGCCACATTGCTGGCTTCAAACATAAAGATATAAAACTGTAATTTTTTGTGAAGAACCAACAACAAGCGGGACACAATCATGAAATGGAACTAAATTTATTGGATATTTCAAACTTTTTTAACAAATAAACTGAAAAATTGGGCGTACAAAATTATTCAGCCCCCTTAAGTTAATACTTTGTAGCGCCACCTTTTACAGCTGTAAGTCACTTGGGGTACGTCTCTATCAGTTTTGCACATCGAGAGACTGAAATTTTTGCCCATTCCTCCTTGCAAAACTGCTCGAGCTCAGTGAGGTTGGATGGAGAGCGTTTGTGAACAGCGGTTTTCAGTTCTTTCCACAGATTCTCGATTGGATTCAGGTCTGGACTTTGACTTGGCCATTCTAACACCTGGATATGTTTATTTGTGAACCATTCCAGTGTAGATTTTGCTTTATGTTTTGGATCATTGTCTTGTTGGAAGACAAATCTCTGTCCCAGTCTCAGGTCTTTTGCAGACTCCATCAGGTTTTCTTCCAGAATGGTCCTGTATTTGGCTCCATCCATCTTCCCATCAATTTTAACCATCTTCCCTGTCCCTGCTGAAGAAAAGCAGGCCCAAACCATGATGCTGCCACCACCATGTTTGACAGTGGGGATGGTGTGTTCAGGGTGATGAGCTGTGTTGCCTTTACGCCAAACATAACGTTTTGCATTGTTGCCAAAAAGTTCGATTTTGGTTTCATCTGACCAGAGCACCTTCTTCCACATGTTTGGTGTGTCTCCCAGGTGGCTTGTGGCAAACTTTAAACGAGACTTTTTATGGATATCTTTAAGAAATGGCTTTCTTCTTGCCACTCTTCCATAAAGGCCAGATTTGTGCAGTATACGACTGATTGTTGTCCTATGGACAGAGTCTCCCACCTCAGCTGTAGATCTCTGCAGTTCATCCAGAGTGATCATGGGCCTCTTGGCTGCATCTCTGATCAGTCTTCTCCTTGTATGAGCTGAAAGTTTAGAGGGACGGCCGGGTCTTCGTAGATTTGCAGTGGTCTGATACTCCCTCCATTTCAATATTATCGCTTGCACAGTGCTCCTTGGGATGTTTAAAGCTTGGGAAATCTTTTTGTATCCAAATCCGGCTTTAAACTTCTCCACAACAGTATCTCGGACCTGCCTGGTGTGTTCCTTGTTCTTCATGATGCTCTCTGCACTTTAAACGGACCTCTGAGACTATCACAGAGCAGGTGCATTTATACGGAGACTTGATTTCACACAGGTGGATTCTATTTATCATCATTAGTCATTTAGGTCAACATTGGATCATTCAGAGATCCTCACTGAACTTCTGGAGAGAGTTTGCTGCACTGAAAGTAAAGGGGCTGAATAATTTTCCACGCCCAATTTTTCAGTTTTTTATTTGTTAAAGTTTGAAATATCAATAAATTTCGTTCCACTTCATAATTGTGTCCCACTTGTTGTTGATTCCTCACAAAAAATTACAGTTTTATATCTTTATGTTTGAAGCCTGCAATGTGGCAAAAGGTCGAAAAGTTCAAGGGGGCCGAATACTTTCGCAAGGCACTGTATCACCGCCAACCAATTTCTAAAGCACTTCCTGACCTTTTGAGATTAATGAATACATTTTTCTACCTTCCAGGCAAGTGCTGAATACAGGTCATATCAGCACAGTTATTAAGACCTGAAACTTGTATGAGACCTAATCCATTCTAGCATTTGCGGTCTATATTTTCAAAGTTACATTATCACTACGTTGTGTAACAGCTGAGTACATTTTTTAAGTATTGTTTTGGTATTATTACCTTCATTACATAGACAAATGTTTGAAAGCTGACAGGAAATGAGAGGAGAGAAACTGGGGATAATGTTTAACTGCTGCTGGCCAGACTTGAGCCAGCAACGCTGCGTTACTTGGTCAGCATCTTAGACCACTAAGTCACCAGGATGCTCCAAATACATCTTTGTAATGCAAATACCAAAGTAAAATGAAATTTTTCTACCTCACTCCTCCTCATGTTTTGGTTGTGCCCGCCCATAGTGGATTTTTTTTAATCTGTCTTCCAAACCTCGTCTAAAATTTTACATTCTCTCACAAGAATTCCTCTTGCCATTAAGCAAGCAGCTTGCCTTCACCTCCTTACTGGCTCAATGAGCTAATACCACTCAAATGGAAAGGCTGCCCCTCCCTCTCATTCCCACTGGATTAGGGACATTATGCAGTTTGGAAAAAAAAAGTCTCAAAAGTCTGTGAATACATTTTACAAAATGTGGGGCTCTTTGAGGAACCTGAGACTGTTCCTGAGTAACTGCTCCCAACGATCAATGTGTTTTACTACTTCATTGTTTTTTGTTAACTATCCATCTGTCCATCCATTAATAAATCAGTGATTTTTAAATACTTTCTTTTCATATCTTTTGTTCTCTGTACTGTTTGTCGATTATGATGTGCAACCTTGATTGTAATTAATGGGTTAGAGTGTGTTTGTTAGTGTTCTATGTCTTCCAGGTGCCTAGGGTTGGTTTAACAGAAAAGATATAACTCTTGTAAAACTTGAGTATGTCTTCATATTCTTCTGTGTTGGCTCTGTCTTTGCACTGTGTTGCTGCTGATGTTTGTAATTTAATGTGTAGTTCCTGTAGTAGTTCAATATGCTGCCTCCGAAACCAATTTACCCTCTGGTACAATAAAGATGTCGGAGCTTCTCAAAAGCATGGTATTCTTCTAAGCCCCTTCATGTCAGTGGTCCTCAAAATCAATGCCTTTTTAGGCCCGGATCAGACAGAATGTGTTTTTTGCAGTGAGAGGCACCTTTTTAATAGTATTCTATTGGCAGTGAGAGTTCTTCGGAGTGTTTATGCACCCTAGGCGCCACGTGTTTTGGGCGCCTGCTGCGCCTTGCGTTTTAGCAACAAAGACACAGACCAGCAAAGCGCTTTGCAGGTCCGAAAACGCGAGGTGCACAGCAATGCTTTTTTTGTTGAATTTGGAAGAGAGCAGTGCGCTGTGTTTTTCATGTTGCTAGGCAACCACCGAATCAGCTTACCTGTCAGTCTAATCAAAGATTTTAGCGCCAGCGATGTGTAATCTTTGGTTTGCCGCTAAGTAATAACTGTCATATTAGCAGACACTCGATCACAACTCACATCTGTGTCTTTTGTTCCTAAGAACATCTGCGCTGGCTCTGGCATTGTTTGAGGGTGAGAGGTGTACAAACAGGGAGACAGGGAAACTGAGATCCGTGCGGGTACATGAGACGTTTTCTGCCCAGAGTTGATTTTTTTTCAACTCCGTGCGCTCAGAGCGCTCCTCGAACATGTAAGGTGCAGTAGGCGCCCAGGGCGCATAAACAGCGCACAGAACGCTCACTGCCAATAGAATACAATTTAAAAAAGCCACCTCACACTGCAAGAAACGTGTTCCGTCTGATCCAGGCCTTACTCCTCTCACAAAAGGAAAAGCATCTTAAATGACGGATGCAGCAGGGCTGTTAACTACTGACATAAATCCAGAGTAAATTACTGCTGTTGTACCAACCTGTTGCAGTCCATCTCCTGCGGCCAGCTGACACCAAACATGTCCATTAGTTTGTAGCAGTCGCTCTTGGCCTGCAGACATAGGCGGCGGCAGGGCAGAGTCATCCGCCCGTACTCGGTACACACCGGGGCGTAGAGCGCGCACAGGAACATCCTGAGCTCTGAGGAGCACTGTAGGTTCACCATGGGATGGAACGGCTGCAGGTAGAGAGAGAAAGAGAGATTTTAAGTGTACATAAACACACATAAGCCATAACATGTTCATATGAAACAGTTTAAAGATGATAACACCAAAGCCCCAGTGTTACTCCAACTTCTTAATGAGGGCCAAAGTGAGGCACAAAGAGATCAGTGGAGCATGTCTGTAATGGTTTCTGGAGATGAGTCCATAAAAACAACTTTGGCCTCTTTCCTAATAATCCCCTCCACCCCCATGATTTTATGCCCCCTTTTTCTCCTCTCTCTTCTTTCCCACCAACCTCCAGATAGGGGGAGCACACCAAGCTGGGCAACCCCCACTGTACACACACACACACACACACACACACACACACACACACACACACGGCTTCTCTCGACGGGGCCTTTGTGTTACAGGGGAGGACCACGCTGTGACTGACTGACACGCTGCAGTAACGTGCATACACTCACACACATCAGCCACAGTACCAACGGAAGTATATTATTTACATGCTAACACACCCACACACCAGCAACAATAATGGTCTCACACATCAACTGAGCCAAGAGGCGTTGGGAGTGCAGGAAGCATCTGAGGGGTATGTTGTTAATATGCAAATAGAGAGCCTGCATGAATGAGTGAGTGGGAAAGGTCATATACAAATCCATCTGTACAGAAGCCCATGATTACATGTTTCTGCATCCATGAATTTGCATATACCTCTATGGTTGTGTGTGTTACAGAAAGGCCTCCAGCCACACCCAAGTCAGTCAGACGCATGCTACCCGCCCTCCCCCAAAATTTAAAGACAGACAGGGACAGGGAGGGGGAAGAGAGGAGTGAGGAGAGGACAGACGGGGGGGCAATTTGTCTCTGTGTTTGTTAGAGGGGTGGATATTAAAGAGGACGTGTCACTGTGGTTTAAACAACAGTATGTTCTGCTTCTTCTGGGTGAATTAAATGGAGAGGAGGACATGTTAACTGATGTTTGTTGAAGAAAGTACGCAGTGAATTTATAAAGCCTGGCCAAACTGTAGATTTGTAGCGACTCCTCAAGAGAGATACTGTTGAATTAAAGGAGGCGATTCTGACACATTCAAAAGCTGCTCCAGAGTCAAAGGAGGAGCAGCTGGGGTTGACTATTACACTGAGAAGTTATTACAACAACACATAAGGCTCAGTTTACATCGACCAGTGAGTCTTTGTTCTTTTCTGACCCACATGTAAGCTTAAAAAAGACAGCACATCTCAGTCAAGTACCAAGAAACCTCAAGGTTTGATATATTTTTTACTGAAACAAGTAATGAAAATTTTTCAGTTTTATATAACTGGTAATTTAGATTGAACACGGATTAAACAGGACAAAACACAATTCATTCCATTTAATACGTAGCGCACAGTACATATCCATAGAAATGAAAAATGTCTGCATCATCTTGCTGTCCTGGGAACATTACCAGAACCAGAGATAGAGGACTTTACCCTAATCCTCTCAATTGTTTGCCTCCTTAACTGCAATCAGATTTGGCCTATTGTAATGTGTTCCCACCATATGTCTACAACAACAGTATGTGCCTTGCTCCTGACAGCATGTTTCCCTGCCACCCACATGTGACGTCTTCATGTAAAAAGGATTTTAATGGGTGTTAGGCTTGGCCCTTAAAGCACAAAGCAGCCACATCCATGCAGCTTTTGTCGTCGCCTTGTTCATATCACATTTCTAGCAAGACAACATTAAAGCTACTGTGGAGGAGACAGAAAGCAATCATAAGACAGACAGACGGGTGTTAAGGTCCTCAGTCTGATTAGTCACTTCTAATGTGAGGGATAAGGGATGGATGGGTGACGACAAGGATTTATGTTCGCACGTAGAATCCATAACGTAACGAGTCTTAACTCAGCACAGTCTTTACATGCACTCTAAAATGCAGAGGATCATTTAGGGGACTTACACGCCTGTCATAACTGAGATCAATCAACCAGTCGATCGTGTAATTTCTGTACAAATGGAGTCATCACGTTTCATTGAGCACCACTGTACGATGACACAATAAGCACTCGTAGCATGCTATGAGGCAGAGTTATCTAAACGAGCAAAACTGATAAGAGAGCACCTTGAAATGTGTCTGCCAGTAACACTTATAAATAAATGAATTATTTTCTGTATTTATCGATTAATGGTTAAATGTCAGAAAGTAGTGGAAAATGTCTTTCGCAATTTTACAGTCCAAGAAATCCTGAAATATCAAAAAAGGTTGGGCTTTTGTGTTTTACTAAAATTATACAAAAATGCCCCCCCCCCCCCCCAAAAAAAAAACGATGATTAATTTTATGACAATCAACCAATTCATTAACTGACTAATCCTAAAATAATCCATAATAATAATCATAATTTTTTTTTAAATAAAACCTATACAAAATTCATGAAAGCTTTACCTGTATGTTTATTGGTCAGGAGTAAAAAAAACTATAAAATCTCTTATTTAATGAGAGGAGTGAGGCTAAACAAACAAGACCACAACACCTGAACAGAAACTCAGACTTCATCAGACGAAACAGACTGTGGGCACGGATTACAGCTGTTAGTAGGATCCTTGATACTATTATTATAAAGACACAATAATGTCTCCTCTTCAAATGAAGTACTTGTATAAGATTACATTACAGACACAACACCGCGTCAAAGAAACAGAGAGAGAAAGGAAACCGGAGTATGTTTGACAATCTCTGGAGAACTAACACAGAAAATCCTGAATTTCACCCCACCCTGCCGGTACTAGGAAATAGGTGCTACTGTACTGATGATCCTCTCTGGGTCCCCCTTTGTGTTGCCAGTTTTGCGGTCTTCTGACTTTTAGTACTTCATCAGCGGTGCCCTGTCAGCGTTGGTTAACCACTCAAACATGATCTAATGCAGCTAAAGTGAGTTTGCATCTTCGCTCCTCTATTCGGTTTGATTCCTGCAGGCTACTGATATGCTCCATAGAACACAATGAACTACACTTTACCGTAGTACAAACCGAGATGCCATGGTTGAATAAATATATAGGCTACAAGGAGTGATGATCTACTAGGAAAAATAACTCCACTTCTCTTCACCCCTCTTCCTATTCATCTTCCTTGCTATTTTTCTATTTTTATACTCCTCCATCATCCATCCCCCTCATACCCTTCTTACCCCTCCTCTATCACTTCAGTATCTCCACTCAGCCATTTTATAACAGTCAAACCATCACGTGAACCAGTGTGGGCAGGACTGAATTGGTGCTTGATGGGACGTATGGCTGGTCACAGTTTTACCAACACGGTCAGCCGCTCAAACAACTCCAACCACCAACATCATGGCCCTGCGGAGCCGCTACACTCTCCATGGGGATTTGATGTTGATGGCCACACTGGAAACAGCTGGTGAACCACCGGTCCTATGAATGGCCAGGGGTCTGTCATGCCGCTTTCCATCCCACAGCCAGCCGTGTAAGGAGAATAAAGTGTGTAATACACGAATGGTACAGGCCTGAGGGGGTGGTATGCTAATGTCATTTCAGTTTCAATCCCGCTCCTACAGTCATTACGTATTCATGAGAGTTTGTTTGGGGATTTCTGATCTCTGGAAATGTGGAGTAATATGCCACACTGGAAATAGCAAGCTCGCACACAGTCAGATATATCAGTTAAAAAAAGCAAAGGATTCTGGGAGTGAATGAAGGGAAACAAACCATCCAACGGACAGATATTCTAAAATTACATTTTTCTAATGAATAAAATTATGAATGAATAATATTATCTCAAATTGAAAACACATGAGTTGTCTAAGGGATGGGATGCAGGAGAGAGAACGGTTTCCTGACAAGCTTAAATGCTTTAAAAAATATTACTAAAGAACACAAAAATCAAGAGGTTGGGAAGAAAAAGCAACAAGGCCCTATTCAGAGCCTGGACTCGCCTAACAAGAGACCCTAGAGGAAGACAGTCAAACAGGATGCTAACAGAGCTGCACTTGCTGTAATGTTTCTTCAACAAGAAGTTGTCTTACTTAGTACACATACGCAACAAAACTGACACTTGTATCCAATATGTTTGATCCGATCTCAATGAAGAAAAAATAAAATTGTCAGAATTATCTCTATAAGTGTATTAATTAAAAAGTAAATGTAGCAATATACAGCATGACCAGTCTCTGTACTTCTTGACTGGATTTTAAGCTAATTGGGTGGCTGAACATCTTGTTAGTCTGTCTATTCTCAGTTTAAAACATACTGGACTCAGACTATGAATTCAGTATATTTAAGTCAGTAAGAGATTCACAATGTTGGTAATTTGATACATTTTGTTAATCGTCCTGCCAGAAAATAAAACTACTGAATTTCAATTTAAAACTTGTCACAGTAGGAAGATTTACAGATATTACTAATAATGACTCAGTTTCATTCAAGTGTCTCAGTAAGACATGGCAGCATGAACAATGCCAGGACCCTGAAACTGAAGCAGCTAAATGGAATTCAGCCAAAACCGGTGCTTTTTATACAGTAACATGTCAAAATATATTTATTGAAAAATACCTATTGATGATCTGGTGCTAAAGATACAACTCTGTAGTGTATGGTAGTGGCTATTCCGCAGATTGTTTATTGTAATTAATTGCATCCACCTGGTCGCATTCCCACAGCTGTAAATCATCTCTGATTAAATTGCAAACATCCGCGTGATCGGAGACTGAGAACCATCTTTGTGTACACAGTAAATAGTGAAGTCTGTCACTAACTGAAATCAGGAAATATCTAGGAAATATTATTTTAAATGATCATATTATACATTGATGAGGTCAACCTAAGTTTGTGTTGCGATTTTGCATATTTCTGCAAATTTTTGTTAAACGGAAACCTCTCAGCCTTTGAAGAAATAAGAAAAACAGCCTTGACCTTAGTTTCACCTCCATACATTTCTGAGATTATCCAGAATGTTTTGAATCAGATCAAAATTGGCGTGATATTAAATATTAATATGGCCTAGTCCAATG